AGCAAGCGATCTCGAGGCTCAGCTGTGCGGCGCGGCTGCTGCGTGCACTTTACGGCAGCTCCCGACTTGAAACTGTTCCCCCTCTCTCCCGCCGGTGGAGTTCGGACGGCAAACATTGAATCCTGCCACACATAAGGTTTAGGGTAGGGTTGAGGGTTTCAGGGTTTAGGAGTTTAGGAGTTTAGGGGGTTTAGGGGTTTAGGGGACATGGCCTAATATAGGGGCAGTATCGGGGCCGTAGTACCAAAAAAGATTTGGGGATCTACTCCACAATACTTTTATATGAACCCGGTCACAGATAAGGTTTAGGGTTCAGGGGTTTAGGGGTTTAGGGGTTCCGGGTTGAGGGAGCAAGCAACCCGTTTACATGGGTTAAGGATGGTTAATGCTGGGATGATTCCCTTTACTTTACCTTACGGGTATGAAGATAATGATGCTCCAACTTTCTGACATCTACTGTACACCGTCAAATCCCCCAAAGGGGGGCCGGGGGAGGTGGGATACCTCCCCAAGCCACCGAAAGGATCTGGAAAGTAGATCCCCTAAGTTGCGATCCTCCTTCTAAAGGGTTCTTTACGGGAACCCCCGTAAGGAACCTCTTTCTTGGATCCTCCCACAATTCTGCCTAACACTTGCCTAAGATGGGGGCCTCAAGAATTAACTATACTGTTTGGGTCTCCTCTTTATAATTCTAATATAAGGGCCCCCGAAACCCTTTTCTCTTTATTAAGGCCCCTAAACAACATCTCAATAATAGCCTTGTTACAGAGCCCTTGAAGCCCCGTTTTAAAGGAAACCTTAAAAAGGGAACCCTGTTCTAATTAGTAAGGCCCCTATACGAAACAGTAAACCCCAAAAAGTTGGAAACCGGATTAAGGCCAAATAGTGCTGGGATTCCCTGTACATGACTCTTAGGGATGGAGGCTACTGGGTTTCCAACTTTTGGACTTCTACTATAGTACCCGTTTAAGTATCCCTATTAGTAACCCAAGCCTTCCAAAGCACATCACCTCGGGAGTATCCCTTGTGTTCTCCGAATAGGCTTGAGAGCTTAGGGCTTATCGGGTTTATTCCGTGATCCATCTAACAATCGCAATGGGGTACTAGGCTGGCCTACAGAATTCTGAAGACTTGCCTTTCGGGCTCCCTTACATAAAAACTCCAAAACCTGTCCAGTTTGGATTGTATAAGAAGACTGATTACCCTTTAAAACTAGTCCCGTGCCGAACCCTGAGACCCGGGGCGGGCTTTGCAGGCAGGTTGAGGGGACGGTCGAGAGCGTTAATTACTGCAATGCGCTGCTTGCTTGGCCTTGCGCAACCTTTGCACCGGATCGAATTAGAACCTGTACACCATGCAGAGGGTGTGGAATCTAAATTCCTTGCCAACCGCAGACACCATGCTTTAGCATGGTTAGGTTCGGGCGAGGCAACTGAGCTCTGAAGTGACGGACCTTAAGAAAACAAGATTTTTGGGCATTGGCATACCTTCTTTGGGATCCTTGCTAATCAAATATCCACAACCCTAAACCCTCAATAAGGAATCGTATGACCCAGTCCTAATCTATGAAATGGTAAGATACCCCTGTGGTGCTTATATGTTTTGATCCTTTACGGGGTCTGAGAACGAACCCTTGTCGAACCCCTCAGGCACCTTCTTAAAGGAACGCTGAAACAGCTCGTTTAAAAGAACCCGTTTTAAAGAACCAATATAGGACCCTAAACCCTACAGCTTCAACCCATTTCTCTAAACCCGAGGACCCGTATGTAAAATCCTGGGTTCTCCAAAAGGGAGTTTCCGAAAATTAGGGGTACCTGATCTTAAAGAAACCCCTATAAGGGTTCCTTAAAGCCTTCTATAAGGGTCCTACAAGGCGTCTATAAGGGTTCTATCAGGTTACTTGATCTGGGGTTCCTGGGTTTCCGAAAATTAGGGGTACCTTGTTTTGGGGTCCTTCTAATAAGGATCCTACTATTTAGGGTACTAAATCAAGGTCCCTCATTTTCGGAAACCCCCATAAGGGCCGCCGGTTTTCTGAACAGAAACCCCAAAATTACCCCGAATACTGCACCAAACCTCACACTCTAAACTCTCATATTCGCCAGGTCTTATCAAATCCTACACACTCCGATTCAAGACCCTATGGCCCTATAAAGCCTCTCCGAGCAAACAAAGTTTCGGCAAGCCTTCTGACCTGCGAGTTCCCTCAACCCTAAACCGTAAACCTTAAATCCTAAACTCATGGCCTAGGCCGCCCACCTTCGATGGTGGACGGCGCTTAAGCCCCTCGACATCGATGGCGCAGGTCGATCCAGGACGCCTGTCCTGCCCTGCCCTGCTCTGCCCTGCCCTGCTGGCAAAACTGGTGCTGGTTTTTGCCTTGTTAACATCGCGAAGTGTTCACCATAAAATGACGAGGCCGAGGTGCCCAGAGTTTCCGTTCAGCGTGTGCACACGCCGGTTCCGCTCGGCTGTGGAAAGTAAGACCACGAGGCCGCCTCCACCACCCCAAAAGTAGCAACTGGAGGCAGGGCCAAGAAAAACTGCCGAGATTCCGTGCTGCCTGGTGCGCGCGAGCCCACGCCAAGTAGTGCGGCAACGCCGCGGAGCCAGCGTGAGGAAAAGCTGGCAGTCCTAAAGTTCCGAGATCGAGACCCAATCACTTGCGCGAGAATGCAAGGCTCTGCCATCGATACATTCGAGGCCTACACACACCCGAAGTACAGCACGGAAGAGAAAGTACCCGAAGTCCATGCTGGACAGGAGGGATCGGCCTTCCACCCGCTTCAACCTATCCACCCACTAAGATCAGTAGTAGACCTGCCTGCGGTACGCGGAAGTCCAACTCGGGGTGCACATCCCGTGGCCTCGCGACCGTTTGCAGGACGGAAGCAGACGCCAAGAAGAAGGAACAGAGAGTGGGAGCGAGAGAAACGGCCAGAGGGAGAGAGAGAGAGAGAGAGAGAGAGAAATAGGGAGAGAGGGACACAGAGAGAGAGAGAGAAAGAGAGAGAGAAAGAGAAAGAGAAAGAGAAAGAGAAAGAGAAAGAGAAAGAGAAAGAGAAAGAGAAAGAGAAAGAGAAAGAGAAAGAGAAAGAGAGAGAGAGAGAGAGAGCAGGGAGGAGGTAGAAAGGAGTGGAAGGAGATGCCGACTGGGACACATTGAACTAACAGCTGAATGGCAAAGCGCAACATAACACATTGCATTCCTTTAAAGACTAAGTCAACCCCACCCTCCTAGAAGGCTCCTTCCTTGCCCATCCTCAGAAAGTTAACTGATCCCCCTCGGCATCGAAGTACAACGCCGTGGTGCATAGCCACGGGGCGCTTGAAGGGAACGTGTCAGATCGCACCCCCTGCCCTACAACGAAGGTAATTCCTGGAGAAACTACGTGCAAAACGGTTCCGAAGGGGCGGCTGCATGTGCATCTGAGATGCCAGCTACAATATGAAACACACCATGGCGTTTGCAAGAGATCCCAAGACTTTCGAACAACAGGAATGACGACGCTGAAAATTCGGCACTCAGCTAGACAAGAAAAAACTCCACAACGGTTACGGGAGACTCCACGACAATAGACAACAGGAATGCCGACACTGAGGATTCAGCACCAGGACTGCTCCATGTACAGCGCGGTCGAGGCAGCCACGTCCTGCACAGGCGACAGGTACTTAAAAAAAGGCCCACGCGGACATGCGCAGCAGGCGTGCTATGACGGCACGCCTGTGCCCTTGCGGCGCCGCTATCGCGCGATCGAGCAGCCAAGTCTCATATGCATCCTGATTCTCGAATGCAAGACCATTTCAAGCACTCCAAAATGAATTCGTGCAACTTGGTTCAGTGCCTGCTCTGCGTCGGATATGCCAGCCTGCAACCAACACAGTTTTGTTAGGCCTGACAGCACGAGAAATGCTTAGCCTCGTCTGCCTTCTCCTTGCGGGCTGCGCTTACTCTTGGTCCGGGACGCACCTCAGTGACAAGCATGCGCAAGGCGTGATCGGGGATGGCTGTTGCACAGGCTAGCGCGCAGGGGGTGGAATCGCCCGGCACGGGCACCTTGACCCAGTCCTGAGCATGAGTCATACCCTTACCCATCTGTTCGAGAGAGCCCATCCAATCAAGCACTAAGAGACACTTATTGATTTCAAGCTATCGAACGCATAAGATCTGATTGACATGGAGTTGCAACGCTCTTATTGACTAGATCAACACTCCGATTGCCATTGCTTTATTGGCTGTTTATGCGAGACGGTTTTCCGATGAGACTATTGTTTCTGCTGTTGATTTCACCCACGAGGTACAACTCCGATCGAGCCACAGTTTGTGATCGACTCTGAGCAGGTTTGATCTTATTGAGATGGTCGCGCAGCTGCATTTTCCGCTATTGATTATGCTGCTGCCCGTCGTGCTGTTCTTTAGTGAATCCGACTATTGATTTAGGAACATCCATCCGATTTTTTGCAGTCGGAAAAACGCCCGTTCAATAAGACCAGAAATTTGTTGACCAGGATCCACAAGGAATTCCCACGGAACTCAACTGCTTGGTTTGTTCCCGAGGCCAGGGCGGAGTCCACGACGATGATGCCCACCTAAGAAACAGTGGAATACGCAGGCAGGAATCATCAACCGAACGAACAGAGCCCGACCGGCGTCAGAAGGCTGGCAAGCCTTCTGACCTGCGAGTTCCCTAAACCCAAAACCCTAACCCTAAACCCTAAACCCTAAACCCTAAACCGAAACCCTAAACCCGAAACCCTAAACCCTAAACCCGAAACCCTAAACCCTAAACCCTAAACCTTAAACCCTAAACCGAAACCCTAAACTCTAAACCTTACAAACCAGGCTGGCGACCACAACGTTGCAAAAAAGAAACTCGAGGCTTTAGGGCTTGGGGCGTCGCTGACAACGAGTCTTAAGACCAATCCAAAACCCTAAGTCCTAAATCAATCCTGAAACCGTACATCATGGTATCCAAGAGCCCGAACCCTGTCTCAAACGATTAGCACGGCCGGCATGCATAGCGGAAGCAGTAAGGATTCCAGAGATTGATGCCGCGGCTGTCCACGCAGTATTTGCCGCACTTGCCTTGCAGGCTTTGTTTAGGGCCATGGTACTATAAGTATAATAAGGAACCCCAAAATAGTATAGGTAATTATTTAGGCTCCTGCATTAGACTAGGATTTGGGGGTTGTAAGACCCCGATATCAGGGCTTTCCCGGCTTCAAGAGCCCAGACTGAAGCGACCACTGGGAGGATCATGGGAAGAAAGGCAAGAAGTACCGTAATTGGGGCTTTACAGTCCCAGAGAGTAACTCCATGCTTGGAGGTTCGTGGGACTTAGTAACTAAGATTATACATGAGGCAACTATACTTCTATTTGCTTATAACCCCAGTTAAGGTACTTATGACTGTACTTATTAAGTCCCATGAACCTCCAAGTGACCCTGTAAGTAGCAATTCAGTTCAGAGGGCCTGTGTTCCCGCACAACACCACCTATCATGAGACAAAGGAACGTAACAACCATCCTAAAAGCCAGTAGACTTTCTTACTACCCCAAGAAGCCGCAGAAATCAAAGCTTAAACTTTCCGATTCCTCCTAAACTATAAGCAGCCGAGAAGTTCATAAAGTTTGGGTACTGGGGATCTATGCTTTTGGTATCATGTATGGCCGGTTTAGGGTTTAGGGGTTTAGGGGTTTAGGGTTTAGGGGTTTAGGGTTTTAGGGGTTTAGGGGTTTAGGGTTTAGGGTTTAGGGTTTAGGGTTTAGGGTTTAGGGGTTAGGGTTTAGGGTTTAGGGACCCTAGCAACAATTATGAGTTTAGCAAAGAACTTTTCTCTAAGTACCTCTAAGAGAAAGGTAAGGGAGCTCAGCAAGTATATGCCTAGAACTTAACACCCCATGTCTAACCTACTTAGAAAGCGCTTTCTGCGATTTGAGGATCCTGATGTAACCAGGAGAAAAAAGTTCGCACAAGAAGCAAGACCACCAAACGGATAAACCCCATACCCTATGCAACCAAGGGCAGGACCGACTTGGGCTGCTTAAGTTCCAAAAATTGAATTCATTGGCTTCATCGCTGTAGAGGCTTAAGGACTCCAAACCAAAACCCCAAAACGATCAAAACCTAAACCTATGAAGCGTAGCACCTCAATCCTCCCTACACTGGTTCGAGCTGAATCCCCAAACCCCAAGCCCTACACAATCGGGACCACAAAGAGGGCAGCCAAGCCCTGCACCCTTAGCCCGCCTGAATCCAAACTCCTGGAAATCAACCCCCAGATTCCCCAGACGCTAAACCCTAGGCCCTAGGGTACTGTAGGGGCCTTAATAATTACCTACACGATTCTGGTGGTTCCGTATTATAATTACATTATACTATACCCCAAACCATATTCTAATTGGTAAGGCCACTTTATTAGCCAAGTCTCAGTACATGAAGTTCGCGACTTTGGCAGTATCCCAGTTGCCCGGCGCCTCCTCGTCGCTACAGAATCCAAAACTCATTGATTTCGGAATCTACCAATAAGGCATAATATACCAAGACCTGAAGGGATCTTCACAAGACTTAAACGGTATTATGAACTTTCATCGGATTTGGCATGGTGTATGGGCGTGGCAACTACAGAACCCTTAAGTCTAGTTATAATCCCTAAACCCTTAAAGGAGCCCTTATAGATCCCTTCAAGGTACCCTTATAAATCCCTATTATGGTAACTGAAACTTCTGAATCTAGGATGCCCCGTAACCTAGGAACAGAAAGGGCTCACTTTTGGTATTGGGTTCCTTTATAAGGAACCTAGGACTGCAAAAAGGGAATAAGGGTACTACTGGGCATCCTAGTAATGATAAATATAGTATAATGGGCCCCAAAACTTTGTTCTAAATATTCGCCTCGGCCGAAGCGGTCAGAGGTTCCTATTCGGATTCTCTCTATTCCCCACCTCTTAATCCCCTCCCCAGTGACCCCACACCAAAAATCACTGCCCCCCCCCCCCCCCCCCCCCCCCCCCCCCCCCCCCCCCCCCCCCCCCCCCCCCCCCCCCCCCCCCCCCCCCACCCCCACCCACCCCCCCCCCCCCCCCCCCCCCCCCCCCCCCCCCCCCCCCCCCCCCCCCCCCCCCCCCCCCCCCCCCCCCCCCCCCCCCCCCCCTCCCCCCCCTCCCCCACCCCCCTCCCCCCTTCCCTCCCGCCCCTCTGACTTTCTGGAGTTTTCGCATCTTTATGTGTTGGGGCTCGCCTTTGAGGCTGCAGTACCAAGCGAGTTTCAAACCTGAATTCCTAACCCTACACCCCTGCAGTACCAAGGGAGCTTCAAACCTGAATTCCTAACCCTACACGAGCTTGCTGCAGATAGTAGCCACTCGCCGCATGCGCGTACAGCCGGGCCGAGGCGGACGACGCGCAGCGTTTCAAATTAAGGCCCCTATATCATAGTAGCCCTTATAGTAACCCTTTAAAGGAACCCTATTCTATTTCCGGGGCTCCCCAGGCCCCACTTTGAAGTATCTATCAATGGAGTCGACAAGAGCATCCGAGCGTCTGAGACGTCTCGGTGAAGGGTTTAGGGCTTAAGTGGTTTACTATAGGGGCCTGAATAATTACCAATGCTGTTTTGGGGGTTCTTTATGATAAGTATAAAGTATAATGGGCCCCCAAACCCATCTAATCATGAAGGCCTGTACACGCATGGCAGCCTCGTTCACATTGGGAGTTTCCGAAAATTAGGGGGTTCCTGAAGGTTCCTTTAAAGGGTTACTGTAAGATTAAAAGGTTCCTTTAAACTGCTCTACAAGGGTTTAGAGTTCTAAAAATTCGGGGTACCTTATTGGGGTCCTTATAATAATATATAAGGGTTCCCTATTTCCGGAAACGAAACCAAGATATCCCCATTGACCTTCTGCAACAGAAGGGGGAGCACCTCAGTTTTCCCGGAGCCCATTCCGGCCACAGCGAGCATGTTGTGGTCTCCTCTCTCCCCGAGAGAGTGAATCACCCGGGCGAACCAGGCGGGCATTTCCTCGTGAAGCAGGGGCTTCTGAAACCCCGAGAGGTTCAAGATCGCCACGACCCCGGCGCACAATCTTCGGACCCTCTCGGAGTCCAGCTCGCCATCGTGCGTCGAAAACCCCGAGGCGGGTCTCCAGATCGTCAGGGGAGACGGCTCGTTCTTCTCCTCGAAGGCGACCTGCTTCCCGCTGGTCTCGTATGCTCCCTCCGGACCACGCTCGTGGAGGAATTCCAGAGCTTCGCGGTTCACCTCCTCCCACATTGGGACTGTCCATGACCACACCAGCGACCAGGTTCGCTGGGGTGGATGGTCGGCCACTTGTGCAAAGATGGCCTCGACGTACTCAGCGGAGCGGTCCTGGTCCTTGGGAACCGCACTCATGTCCTCAGCCCTCAAGAAGTGCTCCTCGCCACAGCAAACCCACCCGGGATCGTGCACAACATTTTTGGCGCGAACCAACGCGGTTTCACGTTGTTCCACGCATGGCCACCCGACAAAGCCTGGCTCATGATCGGCTCATGCGCTTCGATGTCAAATCGACCAACTCTGCATGCTACTCTGGACCTTTTGGCATGTCACTGCCGTGCATAATCGAACCTCAAGCCGCTTTAAACGCCCCCTAAACCAGAAACTCAACAACCCATTGACGCATGATGCAGAACCATGGGTAATCACTGATACTATTCCTTAGGGTTCCTCAGTATACCCGCTCACCAACACCCCATCACAACCCTTGCAGTAACCCGACCCCTAACTTATCCAAAAAGCAGATCCGTCAAGGGGTTCGCTGGGAGGATCCAACAAATCAGATCCCTTAAAACGTTCCTATAAAGTAATCTTTGCTGACTGTAGTCCTTCAGTAGTATGGGTCCCAAATTACGGAATCTGCTTTTCAGATCCTCCCTATACCCTAGCCCTAAGCCCTAAAACCCTGTAACCCCTTGAAGGAGGCCAGGAGCCGTGTTGGAATCCCATCTTTTTCTGAAGCACCCTATATTTCCTTAGACTCGAAGCCCTAAAGCCTAAAAGAATGAACCCTCCAGAACCCTAAAAGATCCCTTTAGGGCTTAGAGTGCAAGGCTTTGGGTTTAGGGTTTAGGCCCTTCTTGGTTGCTGAGTTCAAAGCCCTAAAAAGTGTACACGATTCGTTTTATGGTGGGTAGTATTATCCCCAGAAAGTGGACAGTGTATCCGCTCAGCTACAAAGCCTTTACTATACTGAACTTAGAACCCTAGCAAAATTATAATTTTAGCTGTTTCTTAGGGATTATAATAACCAAAAATTAAGAATTATTTCTAAGTACCCTAAACCCTAAACCCAAAACCCTAAACCCTAGACCCTAAACCCTCAACCCTAAACCCTCTAAACCCTAAGTTTAAAGAAACCCTTTTGTGATCCTTGGCGCCCTTCTCCTCAGCCGGGAGGATGATTGATGCCTCTCCCAGAGATGATGGCAGGTACTGTCTACTGTTCGGTAGAGGAGCCTTTATTATTCGACGGGGTTTTAGGATTCGAGTGTAGCTTTTTATAAGGGGTTTAACTGATGGGAGGCCAAAAGGAGGGTTTAAGATTCTTGGGGTATTCATTCCTTAATATGAACCCGATTATGGGAACCCTAATCCCTACTAAACCCCCATAGGCTAAAACCCCTTTTGGCCTTCTATGAAGAGACGCCACTGTCCCCCAGTTGAGGAATATACCTCAAATTATACATTTAGATTAAGGAATATACCTTAAGTTATACTTCAAATCCCGAATCTACCTCAAGTTATACATTTAGATCCCGAAGACCGGTTTTGAGGTATATTCCTTAATTAAGGGATGCGTTCGGATATCAGAAGGGCTTTGGGGTGCGCGGTTTCGGGGCTCAGGGTTGTATGGGCTTTTACCAGTTTCTTGTAGAGGTGAATGGACTTTACCTGTCTGTGCAGTTTTGGATAAAAACTCCAACTTTGAATTTGGGACGCATTTTTAGGGTGTCTGGGGGCTAGCTCAGGCATGCGGTTTAGGCTTCCGGTCTTGGGGGACCTCTCAGGTTTAGGGTTGCAACGTCTGGTGCAGTAAGGTTGCGTGGGTATTCAGTTCTCAACAGGTTTTGATGTCGGCTGAGGGGCTTCACGGGTAGTTGTCACACGAGTAGAACCAAGAATGATGATAACTGATTTGTTGTTGCAGCTGCCCCCTCGCCAGATCGTTGATGACTAGCTGCATAGCATGATACCTGAAGGCAAACTGGAAGTTTGCTCGAAATTTGCCCGTTTTAAACTTCAACTATAACTTCCCTCCGCCCAAAAAGAAACGCATCCTAATTACCAATGCCCCGGCAGTGAGCTCCTTGTTTAGAGACTCAGCTGCGGCTGGCTGAACTACAGCAGCGGCGCGCACCTGGACAGCGAAGGGCAGGACGGTGCGTTTTCAGGGTTGCGATTGGGGGTTGGGGAATCTGGGGGTTAGGATGTCGGGTTGAGGTTTGGGGTTGGGGAATTTGGTTGTCTTTTTGGGTGTCACACGAGGTTGGGTGCGAACTGCTGGCTGCTTGTGCACCACCAAGAAACAGATTTGGAATTGGGTGTACGTCATGAGACAGAAGTGCATGGCAGGGTGTTCATAAAGTAGGATCCTTATTGTAAGGACCGCAAAATAAGGTTCCCCTGTTTTCGGAAACCCTGAACCCGAACCCCTAGACCCTTTATAGAACCCTTATGGATCCTTTAAGGAACCCCTTACAGGATCCCAAATAAGGTTCCCCTATTTTCGGAAACCCCTATGTGGCTCAATTTGGAATCTCTTCGGTCGACCCTCCACATCTCTCCAAAGGAAGACGTCGATCCGTCACAGACAGACAGACCTAAGAGTAACCTAGGAATAGAAAGGGTGCCCTTTTTGTGTTACAGGGGGTTAGAAGCGAACCTAAACCCTAAAAAAGGAAACAAGGGCCTACTCTGGGTCCTAGGACAGACACACACACACACACATATATATATATATATATATACTGAAGTTGGCTTTTTGGAGACATCCCTGAACCGAAACAACAAAGCCTAGACCCTGATTGCCCAAGGCGAGCTCATGAACCCCACACCGTGTTCACCAGAACTCTGCCCAGAGACTCCTATACCATGTCCCTTGATTAAGGAGTATACTCCAAATCATGCTAGGACTCCTACTATGATTAAGGGTCATTTAGTGTGTATTCCTTAATTAGGGCATATTGGAGTCTCTGGGTCCATCATTTCCTGAATCGCACCCACAAACTCGCCAACCTTCCCAAAGCCCCATAAGCCCTGTGGACCATATTTCAACGGAAAAGGCTCAACCGTTAGCCCAAGCCTAAAACCTACACCCCAAAACCCAAAAAGCCACATGCTATGTCCAATTCTTGAAGCCTAGCTAGAGTCGCTACCCAGACCCCCGGAGGGTCTTGAAAGTAGATCGTCTAATTTGGGGCCCTATACTACTAAGGGTACTTCATAGGAACCCCCATTAAGGGATCTACCTTTTGGATCCCCCGGGGTCTGGGTCAAGGCACCTTAAAAGAAAGAAGATGTCATCCTGACCCTACACCCTAGAAGCTCTAAACCTAGCTAACCCTTGCAAGCGACCCTGAACCCCAAAGCCTAAATCCCGGTTCAGAGTTAAGGGTTTAGGGTTTAGGGTTACTCTTAAACTCCTACAACTTAGTAAGTACAGTTATAAGTAGGATTATAAGTACATATAAGTGTAGTTACCCTAATTATAACCCTAGTTACTAAGTTCCATGAACCTCTAAGTCGCTAAGTACAGCACCCCTAAACCCGAAACCCCTCCCATGCACTAAACCCTGAACACCCAAGACCTCAATGTAGGAGCCTAATGAACCGGATACCATTCCGCCAGGCTCCTGAACGTGAATCTAAATATCTTGCAATATACCCCAAAACCCAGTTCTAATTCTGGCGACGGTTGTGATGCTGATGCTGATGGTGATGGTGATGATGATGATGATGATGTTAAATTGTTAATGATCAAGAATCTTCCTATTATCATTGCCATGCTCCTTCTTATTATCATTACTGTTTTTGTTTTATGATTATCATTGCTATTTGATTTGTTATTGTTGTAAATATGAAGTAAGAGGGCCCGTATCTTGAGCCCGTGGCTTCATCCTCGTGCTGCTTCTCCTCCCCTCGCGCCGGCGATGTCGCACCCCTCTCTGTGCCAGGCGCTGTGTCCTGCAGTCAGGGTGTTGGGTTTCGGGTGTAGGGTTTATGGCAGAAGCCCAAACGTTGGAAACCCCGTAGCCTCGATCCTCAAGAGTAATGTAAAGGGAATCCCAGCACTATTTGGCCTTAATCCGGTTTCCAACTTTATGGGGGTTTACTGTAGGGCTTCAAGTGTAGAGGTGAGGGTTCGGGGCTTAGGTTCGAGGGTTCAGGGTTTAGGGTTTGGGGTTCAAGGCCTTGAGGGTTTATAGGGGAATTTCCGAAAATAAGGGGCCATAATATACTACTAGAATCCTGATTATAAGGGCCCCAAAATCAGGTACACCGAATTTTCGGAAAATCCATAGGGCTCAAGGCTTAGGGCTCAGAGTTCGGGCTTCGAGGGTTCGGGTTCGGGACCCTTTAAGCAACCCCTAAAACTAGGTTCCCCCAGTAACCCCTTTAGGATTTAGGGTTTAGGGTGCCTTTTTCCTGATAATCGGCTCCAGTAAGGGGGCCCAAAACACAGAAAGGGCAAGTGGCTATTACTGGAGAACCCTGATAGTACCCTTATAGACCCCTTAAAGGACCCTTACAAAGGACCCTTGCAATAGTGTAGCTTAGCATGCTTACCTTACTACTGGGGAACTTAGGAAAAGAAAATATTCGCCAGCCTGGCTGGCGGAGCCGCGCAGAAAAATCGTGCTGTCCCCTGTCAGGGTGAGATAGGGTTTCTGAGGGTTTGAAGTATAGGGTTTAGGGTTTTGGGGTTTAGGGTGTTGGGGTTTAGGGATTTGGGGTTTAGGGTTTAGGGGTTTAGGGTTTGGGGTTTAGGGTTCAGGGTATAGAGTACATAGCAGCCCTGGTTTTAAAGAGAAAAATTGAGCTCCTTTACAACGTTCCTCTCAGGGTGGGATCAAATCTTAACGTATGGGACCTACTCTTTAGAATATTGTGGATGTCAAAGTAGTGCAAAAGGGTGGTACTCAGACTTAATTTTCTTTTATAACTGTCTATGTTACAGAGTTACAGACAAATCTGACAAGACAGGATTCCGACATGTTCCGACACTTGTTCGACGCTAGCGCGTGCACGATAGAGTGCCGATGTAGAAGTTTAGGGTTTAAGGGTTTAGGGGGTTAGGGGTTTTGGGGGGTTTAGGGGTTTAGGGTTTAGGAGTACTCTATACGCACAATAAACCCTAAACCCCCAAACCCCGACCCCTAAACCCCTAGCCCGAAACCCTAAACTCTAAACCCCCAAACCAAAACCCTAAACCCCTAATTAATTAGCCCTAAACCCTAAACCCCCAACCCCCTAATTAAACCCTAAACGCCTAAACTCTAAACCCCCCTAAACCCCTTTTCCTTAGAAGGGGCCCCCACCCTGTAACAGTGACCATAAGGATTATATAGGATTATATTAGGGCCCTATTATATTCCTATTATACCACTATTACAGGGTGGGGGCAGCTTCCAACCTAGACCCCTAAACCCTGAACTCTAAACCAAAACCCTAAACCCCTAATTAACTAGCCCTAAACAATAAATCCCCAACCCCCTAATTAAACCCTAAACGCCTAAACTCTAAACCCCCCTAAACCCCTTTTCCTTAGAAGGGGCCCCCACCCTGTAACAGTGACCATAAGGATTATATAGGATTATACTAGGGCCCTATTATATTCCTATTATACCACTATTTCAGGGTGGGGGCAGCTTCCAACCTAGACCCCTAAACCCTGAACTCTAAACCAAAACCCTAAACCCCTAATTAACTAGCCCTAAACAATAAATCCCCAACCCCCTAAGTAAACCCTAAACGCCTAAACTCTAAACCCCCATAAACCCCTTTTCCTTAGAAGGGGCCCCCACCCTGTAACAGTGACCATAAGGATTATATAGGATTATACTAGGGCCCTATTATATTCCTATTATACCACTATTTCAGGGTGGGGGCAGCTTCCAACCTAGACCCCTAAACCCTGAACTCTAAACCAAAACCCTAAACCCCTAATTAACTAGCCCTAAACAATAAATCCCCAACCCCCTAAGTAAACCCTAAACGCCTAAACCCTAAACCCTAAACCCCTTTTCCCCAAAAAGGCGAAGGAGCCCTCGGGGCACGCGCTGCAGGCGCAAGCCTCGTGCGGAGGCGCGACAACAGCGAGGGCTTGAAGCGCTTAGGGCTTAGGGGGTTTAGGGGGTTTAGGGGTTTAGGGTTTAGGGTTCAGTGCTCTGGGTTTAGGGTTTAGGGTTTAGGGTTTGTGGGGTTTAGAGTTTTGGAGGGTTTAGGGGTTTAGGGTCTCGGAGTGCTTGCTACCCCAATAAGCCACAGAGAGGATTCCTTTAAAGGGTTCCTGAAAGGGATCTACCTAGGGTTCTCTAGCTTACTACCCCAATTAGCCACAGACAACGATCCGAACAAATACCAAAGCCGGGGTTCCATGGGAAATTTCAATAAGGCACAGAGGTACTACTTACTACCCCAATAAGCCACAGAAATACAAGGTTATACTTTCCGATTCCTACTAAACTAGAAGAACCCAAAAAGCCTAAAGGTTAGATAGTGGGGATCTAAGAGAGCTCATGCTACTTGGAGGGTTTAGGGTTTAGGGGTTTGGAGGTTCAGTCGCGAGCACGGATAGAGGTACCATAATTGGGTCATAAGCCTTGCTGCTAAGTCCCATGAACCTTCCAGTACTGCTACTGCCACTGCCACTGTGCTGAAGGCGGAGAGATTAGCGACGTGGGTTTCGGGGGAACTAAAGGTTACTCTTTGGGGATTGTTTAGAGCGTATATGCGAGAAATACTACCCCGACTGTCAATTAATCTAAGAGATAGCATCCCAAAAAGAGGGCGCGGGGTAAGATCATGTCTTTCTCAACATGTTTGTGCTGTATCTATCTCATTTCGTACGAAAAGACGACACGGTATGGAGGTTGCAAAAAAAGGGAGTCAATTGCTAGATTCCAGGTCATATTAGGCAGTAGTTAGTAGGCACTTAGTAGGTAGTAGTTAGTAATTACTTTTAGTAGTCAGAAACCACTGCTCAGTGGTGCTACTACTCTTGCTGCTGCTAATACTGCTGATACTGCTGCTGCTACTGATACTACGACGAGGACGACGAAGACGACCACGACTACTACCAGCAACTGAAACGGGAGCACTGCTGGCCCACGAAACGGGCACGCATATGCTCCCCGCTCCGAGCTAAGCCCAAAGCAACCTGAACACTAAAATCCATGGACCCTCCAACCCGAAACTTTAAACTCAAACGTCAACTTCTAACAGGAAACCTAGCTAAACCGATTCAACCTTACAGGGTTGCAGGTTAAGGGCCCCCCTCCCTAATTTTTCATGGGCAGGCACCTCTGCAACGCCATAAAGTCCTGAACCCTGAACCGGCTGAAAGTGCTCATTGCTGCCATCCGGCTTTGCCAACGATGAACATGTTGCTCCATGATGTAGCAGACTCCTGGGTGGCTGACTCCTTACTATGATTTGCTTTGACATTTCCTTAGGAATCAGGTTTCTCTTTGCGGCGGGAGAGGGTGCCAGAATAGGCTTAACCACGAAACACCTCAACTTAGTTGCCGAGTACATGAGCCAAAGCATGCAAGTCTACGCTTTCAGTGTTAATGCGAGCTGTGTCCTTTCTGTTCGACAAGGAGGACCACGAGGCGTAAAAGGTAAGGTTGTACTCAATGGGGGCTGTAGAAAATTTCTTGAGTATAGTTACCTTGTTTCTCACGATAGTTACTATGCTCCATGATCCTTCAAGGAAAAAGTGTTCAGTCTTCTGATTCAACTACCCTAAACCCTAAACCCTGAGTGAAAGTTGGCCAAAGCCCCTCAACCCTTGGCCCAGCGGCTTTGCAAGTCACCCCGCAGCTGCAGTAAACAAAGTGGCCCGGAGCTTCTGCCGCCTGGAAGATTCGGAGTTTTGGGCTTCAAGGCTGCAGGGGTTAGGGTTTAGTTTAGGGTTTAGGGCTTGGGCTTCAAGGCTTTAGGGTCCAGGGCTTAGTTTAGGGTTTAGGGCTTGGGCTTCAAGGCTTTAGGGTCCAGGGCTTAGTTTAGGGTTTAGGGCTTGGGCTTCAAGGCTTTAGGGTCCAGGGCTTAGTTTAGGGTTTAGGGCTTGGGCTTCAAGGCTTTAGGGTCCAGGGTTCGGTTTAGGGTTTAGGGTTTCGGTTTCAAGGCTTTAGGGTCCAGGGCTTAGTTTAGGGTTTAGGGCTTGGGCTTCAAGGCTTTAGGGTCCAGGGCTTAGTTTAGGGTTTAGGGCTTGGGCTTCAAGGCTTTAGGGTCCAGGGTTCAGTTTAGGGTTTAGGGTTTCGGTTTCAAGGCTTTAGGGGCGAGGGTTTAGTTTAGGGTTTAGGGTTTGGGTTTCAAGGCTTTAGGGGCGAGGGACTAAGGCTTAGGCTTTGGGGCTCAGAAACCCTAAGACTTATAATCTTGATGGCTGAAGATGGTAAGGCGGCTCTGCATAGGGAGTAGAGAATGACCCGTTGGTCTTGATCAACAAATATGCCAACACTTAATGTAGGCCTTAGTATAGAAGAGCGCTTTGTGGTATAGTATACTGCTGAAAATAAAATTTAAAACTAGAATAAGGAACCCTAAGGAATGATATCAACTAATAGTACTTGTTCAGGCTCCTATATTGCGATAAAGTCTGGTCGTTATGTTCCAGTGGACCTGCAGCCGAACTGACAAAATCGATCAGAACAGCTAATTAAGCCGCCGTGTCTCGACCATTGCCAACGCAGATGACGTGACATTGAAGCGGGGAATGAAGACACTGCTGATGGTAACGAAACATGAGTGTTACCACTGTACAGGTGTCTGTATTACCACTGTAAAGGTGTTTGCTTTTTCACTGCGGGTGCGGTGAGCGCCTTCTTAATATCTTCGGAGCATCCGCAACAACAAAGCACCGACAACAAAAAAGCGTGGGTTCCGTACCACCGAAGAAACTCTCATCATTGCCAGCACCATCTTCAGTTTATTGTAAACATGTGCATTCTATGGTAACGACAACAATGACATCAAACAAGAGGCTGATGAAGATGATGGAGATGATGCTGATGTCAGTGATGGTACTCAGGGCAAGTTTGCTCGATCAGTGATGTCGCCAGCCTACCTGCAGTAGATGACCAAAGACAAAGAGGAAAACAGAAATGAAGGAGCTCAGCTGAGGTAGCAGCAGCAGCACAGCAGCCGTGACGGCAGCAGCAGCAACAATAACAACGGCCACAGTAGCAACCAACAAGCCAAGCAACTAAGGAAGTAATTACTAGACTGTTTACTAGACACGAGTAGCGGCTCTGAGTAGCGACTCAACAGCTACGAGTAACTGCCATGCAAACGAAAACACACACACACACACACACACACACACACACTCACACTCACACTCACACTCACACTCACCCTCACGCTCACGCTCACGCTCACGCTCACGCTCACGCTCACACTCACACTCACACGCACACGCACACGCACACGCACACGCACACGCACACGCACACGCACACGCACACGCACACGCACACGCACACGCACACGCACACGCACACGCACACTCACACTCACACTCACACTCACACTCCTCAACTAAAAAAGGCAAATATGAGAAAGGGCTCTGGCTCTGGCCTTGCCGTGCTCCGCCGCAGCCGGCTGCTCTGTGGCGGACGCGGCGACGGGGGGGTCCTGTACTTGGAGGATCACAGGACTCAGTTAGTACAAGGTTACAACTACCTCACTTGCGGATATGAGTAACAAAAGGCGGGGTTCCTGTACAGGCTTCCTATAAAGAGTTCCTTTAATGATTCCTTCAAAAAAAGGTCCTACAAAGCGTTCCGGAGAAAGGTTCCTTTATAGGGCTGCTATATGGGGTTTTATTGGGATAAGGTTCGGGGTCCTAAACCCTAAACCCTAAAGTGTTTCTAGTAGGGGTTTAGGGCTGTAGAGGCTGCCCGGGAAGGGGAATTCGACTTCGAGTTTAAGTTAAGAGTGATCATACAGAAACTCCATATAGTCGAAATACAAAACCCCTATTATTGTATTGTATATATATATATATGTATATATATATATACATATATATAGAGCTTCAACAGCTTATGGCTTCGGGGGTTCACGCCTCAAGTGAATGTCTCGCTTGACTTAGCTTGCCGGCTTTGCCACGCTCCAAGACCCTGGCACGACACGACTGGACCGTTAGCTCCTCGCATTCCCAGACTTACTACCCCAATACGCCCCAGAAATAAAAGGTTAAACTTTCCGATTCCTACTAAACTGTAAGAACCCAGAAAGCTTAAAGGTTAGGAATGGGGACCTAAGAAGACCCACGCCACACCCGCCAATTTTCTTGCGAACGCTTGGGCGGACCCTTGCAAACGCTGCGGCGAGATTCCGCGTCCAAACCCAGCCCTGACCCAAGTCCCTAAACCCTACCTAAACCCTAAACCCTAAACCCCTACACCGCTAAACCCCTAAATTCCCTAAATGCCTTAAATACCCTGAATGCCCTAAATACCCTAAAAACTCTAAATGCTCTAAATACACCAAATACCCGAAATACCCCAAATACCCTAAATACACTGAATACCCTAAATGCTCTAAATACCCCAAAAATTATAGGGGATCCTACCATTAATCCATATTCCAACTTTCTGGAGTTCCCTTCAAAGGAGCCCTATGTTTCTGATGCCTCGGCGAGGCTGACGGTGAAGAGGGCCAGTGCGAAGAGATTGCAAAGGGACAGAGCCTGGAATTTCTGGGACTTTAGGGCGTCTTAAAGGGATCTATAAGGGTTCCTTAAAAGGGGTCTATAGGGTCTTAGGGTTTTTAAGGGTTGAGGATATTTTGGGTGTAGGGTTTAGGGTTGAGGGTTAGGGTGTAAGGTTTCGGGTTGAGGAGTCGTAGGGTTTCTTCAAAAGGATCTATAAGGGTTCCTTACAAGGGATCTACAGAGGTTTAGGGTTTAAGGGTTTAGGGGGTTTAGGATACTTTAAGCTTTAAGGTTTTAGGGGTATAGGGTTTCGGGTTTAGGGGTTTATAGAGGTTTCGGGACGGGGTTCTAGGATTTGGGGGGGGGGTCATCCCAAATATACTATGGCTTTAGGGTTTAGGGTTTAGGGTTTAGGGTTTAGGGGTTTAGGGGTTTAGGGTTTTGGGGTTTTGTTGATGATCTTTTGAAGGTTTCCAAGGCTTGTGAGGTCGCTAGAGGCCGCTAGAGGGTTTGGCCACGGCTTGTTATTCAGGGACTTGGGGGTATAGGGACACGGACGCTTAGGGTGTTGTGGTGTTTTTGGGTTGTGGTTTAGACCGGCTTCGTGGCTTGGGGGGTTCAGGGCTTACGGCTTAGGGTTTAGGCGTCGTTCTTTAGGAATTCTGGTTTAGGTAGCGGCCAGGTGGTGTACTCAAACGAATCATGGGACTTAGTAACGAGGGTTATGAATACGGATTACATTTATAGCTGCGCATAACCTGAATTAGGGCACGTAAAACTTTGTAACCTTACCTGCTAAGTCGCATGCTCCTCCATGCAAGTGCCCTTATAGAACCCTCTATAGAACCCTTACGACAATCTTCATAGAAACCTTACAGAACACACCTTCATAGCGCCCTACATTGCCCCTGTAGAACCCTTCTTCGCTGCTTTAACAGGGACCCTTACAGCAACCCTTGAAAAGGGACCGTTCTAGAACCCTGCAAAAGAGACCCTTTTTGAAACCCTTATGGAACCACGGTTTAAGATTCTTTAAGGTCTAGGGTTTAGGGGATAGATCATAATGTAGGAACCTGACTAAGAACCCCGAGCCTATAGTCGGGTTCATACAAGGAACCCTAATAAAGGCCCAAGGTTTCTTGATCAGGTTCCTATACTATAGAACCCCTTATAGTACCCTTATAGTACCCTTATAGTAAGCCTTATAGTAATCCTTGTAGTAATCCTTATAGGAGCCCTTTAAAGGGAACTTTTAGGGATCCCTTAAAGGCTCGGGGTTTAGATCATAGGACCCTTTATAGAACGACTACAATACCAAGGAGAAGGATCCTCCAAGGAGAGTCTTTCTGTTGATGATACAAATCCTGCATTGCCTTAAGAACCCTAAACTATGGGAATCATGGTATATTCCTTATTATGGGTAATGCAGGGTTTATACCATCAACCGTTCTGAGGGTTTAGGAGTTTTGGGGCTTAGAGCTTTAGGAGTTTAAGAGCTTAAGGGCTTAGGGTGTGGGCGTCGGGGTTTAGGAATTTAGGAGTTTAGGGCTTAAGGTTCAGGGTTGAAGGGTTCCGGGTTTCAGGGTTTAGGTGCTCCGGGGTACTGCATTAGGATCCCAGGCCCCGAAGGATCCAAAAAGTATATCCCTTAATGCGGGCTCCTATAAAGTACCCTAAGTAGTATAGGGTCCCCAAATTAAGGCTAGATCCTCCCGGGTCTGGGATTAACCCTAAACCCTAAACCCCTAAACCCTAAACCCTTGAGTGTCCGGAGAGAGTTTAAATGTTCCGTGGGGCAGCGGCAACATTTTTTCAAAACGAGATAAACATTGCAGGCCCTCAGTCCTAATGTAGGAGGTTTACTAGGGTTCTTAAAGGGATCTGTAAGGGTTACTATAAGGGATCTTATAAGGCTACCTTAGGGTTCCGTACAAGCTGCCTCTGAGGGTTTAGAGTCTAATGTAAGGATCTTTAAGGGTTCCGTTTAAAGGGTTCCTATAAGGATTACTATAAGGGTACTATAAAGGGATCCATAAGGTTACTATAAGGGGTTCTATAATGTAGGAACGTCCTAGCAGAAGGGGTTCCGGAGGATTTATAAGGGGTCATACGGTTGATGATATAAATCCTGCATGACCCATAATAAGGAATATACCATAATTCCCATAGTTTAGGGTCCTTAAGGTAATGCAGGATTTATATCATCAACAGTATCATTTGGGGGTTGTATACTTTCTTCGCAGGGCCTTATAGGGCTTTATGGGGTTTAATGTAGGAACCTGATCAAGAAACCCTGGGCCCATAACCCCAACATAGTAGGATTCATATAAGGAACCCGAACAAAGACCCAAGGTTTCTTAATCAGGTTCCTATATTAAGCTATATCCTCGAAATCCCAAACCCCCAGAGGCCTAAACTCCGTAATAAAACTTATAACACGTCATACATCCTCATTAATGCACTAACTACGCAAAAAGGGCCAAGGAGCCATGGCGCTTCAATGGCAAAATGCGCTGCGGCTCCACAAAAACTTCTCAGAAATTGTTCCGAAACTTGTCAGGGGAATAATCGCCCTTTTTGAGCCAGTCGGAGCCGCGAGTGAGGGGCTTGCTGGCGGCGTTAAGCAAGGATTTATGAAGGGCTTGACCGAGGTGATGTCGGGCATTTATGCATCTTGCAAGGCTTTGTACGACTACTAGAAGGGCTATAAGGGTCTCCAGAGGGTGACTATTAATAAAGATTACTATTATAAGGTTCGCTTTGAGGGTTCAGTATAAGAAAGACCTTCCTTCAGGGCAAGTCCAACTAGCAGTAGCTGAAGGAAGTAATCGTACACGGATGGAACATACTTAAAGGTTCATGGGAGCTAATAACTACGATTATAGGTAAGGTAACCATACTTATAACTAAGTATAACCCCAGTTAAGGTACTTATAACTGTACTTACGAAGTCCCATGAACCTCCAAGCAGAAACCTAGAACCTAAACCCTGTGGATCCCCCATTAAGGAGCCCTTCAAACACCTACTAACAGTACTGAAAGGGCCATGGCTGGCTAGGGTTTAGGGTTGAGCGATTGTGATACTTTTTTTGAAAACAAGAGATATCCACGACCCTGCAACCATTTACGGTTGAGAGTTTTGTTGTCAAGCACCTTGTTCCGACCGCAGAAATGTCCTACTGTTGGAAGCTTTGCCTAGGGTTTAGGGTTTAGGGTTTAGGGTTTTGGGTTTAGGGCTTAGGTTTCAACAGCTACCCATGAGCCCCCTACTTTACAGAAGAACCACCGCACAGACCTCTTAGAGGCTTCTATACACCAGTTGTAACTAGCCATGAAGTTTTGATCATGGGGTGCGGTTTAGGCTTGGTGTCCAAGTTTGTCTTGGCTGGAGGCCGATGACTCACATTAAGGCCCTAGAAGAGCTAAACCCCACACAGGGCGTGCCTGAAGACTCCAATATCCCTCAATTGAGGAATATGCCTTAAATCATATCTCGGATCCTACTATCATTTAAGGTATATTCCTTAAATCCCTTATACGTATAGAGCCCTTATAGATCCCTTTACGGACCCCTTTAAGGTGCATCCCTTCATTCGTTTAGGTACTATAATTTAAGGTATCTTCCTTAACTGAAGGATATTGGAGTTTCTGGGTACCCTAAGCCCTATACATCCCTTATAGGAACCGTTAAAGGAACCCTTATAGGATCCCTTTAAAGGGATATGGGTGTCTCTAGGTGGACCGGCCTGTACCAACGCAGGCCAGAAGGACTGACGGCCTGGTCCAAGAAAGGGACTTAAAAAGGTTTAGGGTTCAGGTTTAGGGTTTAGGTTTAGGGTTTAGGGTTTAGGGTTTAGGGGTTTAAGGGTTTAGGGTTTAGGGTTTAGGGGTTTAAGGGTTGAAGGGTTTAGGGTTTCTCCCCCGGTAGAGTGTAGGGTTCCTGAAACTACTATACGGGTTCCTTAGAGGGATCTGTAAGGGCTCCTTAAGGGGATCTAAGAGGGTTCCTTTAAGGTATCTATAAGGCTTTCAGGTTTTGGGGTTTAGGACTTCGGGCTTTGGGACATACCCTTGGCATCAAAATAGCCCCCAAAAGCCTTATATAATGTGGTCTTTGGGCCCAAAAGCCTTAATATATGAGTCCTTAGATGCCTCGGGTTTAGGGCTTCAGGGCTTGAGGGCTTAGGAGTCGAGGGGTTCGGGGCTTAAGGAATTGAAATTCAGGGCGTAGGAGGTTGTATCAACTAGGATACCCAGTAACCTAAGAATAAAAAGGCCTCTCTTTTTGGTATTGGGTAACTTTATAAGGAACCTAGGACTATAAAAAGGGAATAAGGGTACTACTGGGCATCCTAGTCAAATTTGTTTCCGTAACTTTGTAGGACTTTTATGGGACTTACCGGGTGTTTAGGAAAGAAGGAGCGTTGCCATGGCAAAGATGGGTTTTCCAGGTGATGCAAGGTATATCGCTTCATTGAGGGACGCTGGGCTCTCTGACGACCATTGCTCCACCTACACCCTTAAGAGTTTTGGGGCGCTTCGAGGTTCATGGGACTTAGATAGTAGCTTGGTTCTAAACAAGGCAACTATACTGATCCGCAGAAAGGATTGAAAAAATCCGGTCCGTTGGTCAAGAAAGCCTGTGAATCCTGAACCCCAACTTGTGATTTCCCAATTTCCAAAGCATGCATGTATAACCCCAAACTCTACAGAATAGCGGGCGATGATCCCTTAGTCATAGGAAACCCTAAACTCTGGACCCAAACCCTAACCCGAAACCCTGGACCCAAACCCTAACCCGAAACCCTAAACCCTCAAAACAGTAGGTTTTCGAATTCTAGGCCCTAATCGCTACTTCGGGTTCCAAAAATCTAAGTCCGCATCTTTAGATTGGGTACTCCGAAGCTCGAAACCCGACTCTCCAAATTCGCGTTGCGAATCCCTAAACTCGCCTAAACCCGAATCTCTCAATTCCGGCTTCCGAATCTCTACATCCGAGTCTCGAAATCCCGGATGCCGAATCTCTAAACTCCTGATCTCGAAACCCCACCAGACGCCTGCATGTCCGAGAGGCTCGGACCTCTTCGCTTCTCTTCGGGGGCCGGCGGGGACCCGAAGTCTTAAAAAACCCCTAAGACATGTAGGGTCGTTTAGGTAGGGGTTTAGGGGTTTAGGGTTTAGGGTTTAGGGGTTTAGGGGTTTAGGGTTTAGGGGTTAGGGGTTTAGGGGTTTAGGGTTTATACAGGTCTTTGTGGGGGTTGGTACGGTTTGATAAGGCCTTACCGGTGTTTGTAGAGTCTTGTGTTGAAGGGCTTGTATAACCTGCCAAATAAGGAGTACATGAGTAGACCGCAGCTTAGGGCATAAACACTAAACCCGATTCCTGAAGCCCTAAAGGCATAATATCCGGCCTTAATAATAAGTAGAATAGGGTATCAAGCCCTGCATCAGTTTTGTAAGGTTATCAGAAGACCAGACGTTCTACAACTTTAAGGTATATATCCCTTACCTACGGGGTATTGGGGAACTCCCTGAAACCTTTGAAGGAGCCCTAAACCTTCTTTTCAGAAGATCGTAAACCCCTAAACTCCTAAACCCCCAAACCTCTAAACCCTAAACCCTTATAGAACCCCTTGAGGGAGCCGCAAAAACCCTCTCTTCAGAATGCCCTACCCCTAAACCCTTACAGAAGGAGCCCTAACTCCTTCTAGAAGCTTTACAAGAGCTCTGAACCTTTATAGAACCGTTAGAACCCTCTAAAACAGCCCTAAACTTTTCAGCCGGCCCTAAACCCTAAGCCCTTGCAAGGAGCCGTAAACCCTTCCGTAATGGAACCCTTGAAGGAGCCGTCTTTCAGCAGAAGGCCCAGTTACTTAGCTCCAGACGCTTATAGATCCCTTATATAAGCCTTTGAGGAACCCCACCATAGAACCCTACAGTACCCTCAAAAGGAACCCGGTTACGAAGCCTCATGAACCTTTAAGCATAAGGTCCTAAACCCTGAACCCTAAAACTAAAACCCTAAAACTTAAATCCCAAGCCCCAGACCCCAAACCCTAAACCCTAAGCCCTCAACCCTGAACCCTAAATCCCTGATCCCTGAACCCCCTAGCTCCCTCTAAAGGAACCCTTGTCGATCCCTTTAAAGGGAACCCAATGCCCCTCAATTAAGGAATACACCTTAAAATGCAGAGGCCTTATCTTTATGATTTAAGGTGTATCCCTTAATTCAAGGAATATTGGGATCTCTGGGTAGAACCGCTAGAACCCTGTAAAAACTATTCCTTGATTATGGGGCATTGGGATCTCTGGTCCCTAAACCCTAAACCCAAAACCCCTAAACCCTTAACAGAAAAAACTTAAACCCTAAACCCCTAAACTCCAAACCCTAAAGCCTGCAGCCGGTCTTGGGATCTCTGTCTGGGCCCTCTTTTTCTCAGAAGGTGCCCCGTGTAAAAAACCGCAGAGCCGAGCGCGCCTCCTGGGCTTTCAGAAGGCGCCGGCCGCCGGGCTCCCCCTGGCCCTGGAGCCTCCGCTTCTCATGGGTTCCCTTGAAGGCTCCTTTAAGGGATCCTTTAAGGGATCTATAGGGTTTAGGGTTTAGGCTTAAAGGCCCTGGAGCCTCTGGGAATAGGGGTTTTCCCTTTAAAGAAATGAATAAAGGATCTATAGGGTTTAGGTTTTAGGGTCTGTTTAAGATTTAAGGTTGAAGGTTTAGAGTTTAAGCTTCAGGGTTCAGGGTGCAGGCCTTAAGAGTTTGGGGGTTTAAGATTCAGGAATGGCCCTGGAGCCTCCGGATCTCACGGGTTCCCTTGAGGGTTCCTTTAAGGGATCCTTAAGGGTTCCTTAAAGGAACGTATAAGGGATCTATGGGGTTCAGGGTTTAAGCTCTAAGGCGTAAGGGTTAGAGTTCCCTTAAAGGCTCTTTTAAGGGATCCTTAAGGGTTCCTTGAAGGAAGCTACAAGGGATCTATGAGGTTTAGGGTTTAAGCTTTAGGCGTAAGGTTTAGAGTTCCTTTAAGGGCTCCTTTAAGGGATCCTGTCCTTAAAGGAGGCTATAAGGGATCTATGAGGTTTAGGGTTCAGGCTTTAGGCGTAAGGTTTAGGGTTCCCTTAACGGCTCCTTTAAGGGATCCTATAAGGTTCCTTAAAGGAAGCTATAAGGGATCTATGGGGTTTTTCTTTTAAAGTGTGTTGGGCCTTTCTCTGCTGCAGCAGGTCACAGGCTCGCCCCTGCTGGTCTCACACTAAATAGAAAACAACCTCACAAGTTGCAGCTTGCCGATCTTTCAGAATGTTCACTTCAAAGTTCAGCACTCACGTCACGGCTTTTGCTTCTCTCACGAAGGTCTCGCCCACGACTACGGTGACGATCTGCAGCAGGAGCTCGACGACAGCGAAGAGCTTCGGCAGGAACTCGACGACCCAGTTGATCATCAGTAGGTGCACGACGATGCTCAGGAAGGTGGCCAAGCTGAAGTTCATCCCAATTGCTTCCACCACTGACCAACTCCATGAGGGGATCCACCGACAACGGGACCACCATGGGGCGGGGACGAGTTCGACGTAGTCGACGTCTCCCAATGCGCAGGTCCACTCCATAAGCAGTTGGCAAGGGTTCGGGTTGATCTCCTGGCGACGGCCAATTGGTGATCTCCTCGTCCTCATGTGACTGACTAATGTACAGCTCGCGGTCATTTTCATCAGGCCATGATCCTCGCGGTACAGTTTGGCCAGCTTGGTCATAAAGGAGCCCGGCCTGGCGTTGCCACGTGCGACGACGATACCCTGCTAGAGTTGCCGGGCTGCTCGACTGCAATGCCGCATCCAATGCGGCCAGACTCGACGGGAAGTTTGGCTGCAACAGCACAGAGGGATTCCTCACCCAGTGACTTGCCGAAGATGTGGCTGGCTCCGACCCTCGTTCAGCTTGACAAGTGATCTCTTCCCAGACGTTCCTTTCATGCACAGCCGCATTGAAAGCAAATGCCGTAGGAGGTATAGGGACCCACCTCAAAGCTTCTTCCACTGCCTCCAAGGTGAGTCTGGCACAGTGTTGTAGTCGACGATGTCGAGCTGGTAGTCTCCGCACCAGCTGAACCACGTCCGCACAAGAGCTCTGGGTGAGTTCGTTAATGACAACATCCCTCACCACATCCACCGGCATTGTGGGAGTCGTGGAGGTGCTAGTCGAAGAAGACGTCCAACTCGTCCGATGCAGCAAGGAAACAGCATACGAAAGATCCCACCCAAATTGCATCAAAGCCAGGCCCTCTTCCTCCATGAGATCAGTGTCACTGTCCGAGTTCAACACGTTCTGGTTTGTCCACTGCTCAGCAGACGACATGCTAGTCGAGCAAGTGGGGTTGAGCACTGAGCCAGTCAAGGCAGAAGTCAACCAGGTGGTAGCATTCCAAGTAGAGGTCTACGTCGATGTGCAGGAGGAAGACCACGTCGAGGGCAAAGTAGAAGTCCACGTCCACGTTGAGGGCCAGGTAGAGGTCCACGTCGGCGAGCATGTAGAGCACCACGTAGTAGAACTCCCCAAGCACGTCAAGGCAGTCGTAATCGAGGTAGTCGTGGTGGTGATTTCCTCAGGTTCCCTCCAAATGCCTTGAAGCTCCTCAGTGCCGGGGGCAAATTCACAGGTAGCCGAGGAGGAGGTCCGAAGGGGCCAGGGCCACGTTGAGGAGAAACAGCCGCAGGTTCCCCGTCTGAGTTGTATGCAGATTCCGAGTTCATCGAAATCGCCCCACCACTGCTTTCACTCTCATCCTCATCACCAAGCTCACCCAGCTCAGAACTGTGTTGGTCGCGGACTGCGTCACGTGGCTCAACTCGACGGGGTGAGCGCGATGCCGAACGGGATCGTGAAATGGAATTCCTACGCCTCCGACCGCCGGAACCACATTGACCCGGCGATCCGAGGAGGAGGCAGCTCCGCTTGAGATACCGTAGAAACCCATTTCCTCCGTCTGGCAATCCCTCCAGCAACCTCATGTGGTCTGAGCGCCTCTTCAAGATCAGCCCTGCCCAAAGTTGTGAGAGTCTGCTCTCAACGGCTTCTTGAAAAGATGCCAGCAAGATCAGGTCTGTAGCGTCCGCGCCCGCGCCTGCTTCTTGCGCGGACGCTGCCGCTCGGCGAGCGGCTGGCCGAGCCGCGGGGGCGCCGCTCCCGGCTGGGTCGGCCTCGGCGCCACGCAGTAACGCCCGCAACGGCAGCCTGCATGGCGTCGAGCCCGCGCCAGAAGGTCATCCAGTTCCAGGGCGCAGATCTCCTCGTTGAGAGTCTGCTCTCAACGGCTCCTTGAAAAGATGCCAGCAAGATCAGGTCTGTAGCGTCCGCGCCCGCGCCTGCTTCTTGCGCGGACGCTGCCGCTCTGTGAGCGGCTGGCCGAGCCGCGGGGGCGCCGCTGCCGGCTGGGTCGGCCTTGGCGCCACGCAGGAACGCCCGCAACGGCAGCCTGCATGGCGTCGAGCCTCGTTGGTGGTCTCCTGGCTCCTGGGCACAGGCACCTCGACCTCCGCATGGGGTTTAGGGTTTAGGCTTTAGGCGTAAGGTTTAGAGTTCCTTTCAGGGCTCCTTGAAGGGATGCTTTATAGGGTTCCTTCAAGGAAGCTATAGGGGATCTATGGGGTTTAGGGTTTAGGCTTTAGGCGTAAGGTTTAGAGTTCCCTTAAGGGCTTTTTTAAGGGATCCTTTAGGGTTCCTTAAAGGAAGCTATAAGGGATCTATGAGGTTTAGGGTTTAGGCTTTTAGGCGTAAGGTTTAGAGTTTGCTTAAGGGCTCCTTTAAGGGATCTTTTAGGGTTCCTTAAAGGAAGCTATAAGAGATCTATGGGGTTTACGGTTTAGGCTTTAAGGCGTAAGGTTCAGAGCTTCCTTAAGGAACTCTAAACCTTAAGGGTTCCTTTAAGGGATCTATAGGGTTTAGGGTTTAAGGTACATTTAGGCTCCGGATATGGGTGGTCGTTAATAGTTTAGAGTTTAACCTACTTGTCGGGCATCCTGGGGAACTAAAGGTTAGTTAACCTATTTGGCTATATCGGGATTAGCTTGGCTGACTTCTGAACCCCTCCAGAAAGTTAAACTTTTAGCCTCCTTATTATGGTTCATATAGAAACCCAACAAGTTAAAGTCCTAAGAGCCAACCAGAAGAACGCCAAGTTAGATAGGGACTATACCACGGTTAAAGGTTACCTACTCTACTACTAGGTTAAAGTTCGGGGTGTAAGCTTTCCGGTGTAAGGTTCAGGGTTTCGGGTTTAGGCCTTCAGGTTTAGGGTTTAGGATTATCCCGTTACGGGTTCCGCTTGAGAGAATCCTAGGGGGTTCCGTTCAAAGGAATCCTTAAGGGTTCCTTTAAAGGGATCTAGGGGGTTTGGGATTTTTGGGTATGCTTAAGCGTTTAAGGTTTAGAGTTTAGAATTCCAGCTCTAAGCTTTAGGGTTTAAGATGTAGTGTTTAAAGTCTAGGGCTTAGGGTCTCGGGTTCAAGGCTCTTTTCGGGAGGGGCGACAATAGGAGTTCAAGACTTGGGTTTCCTTTGGTCGGCGGGTCTACTTGGAGGTTCATGGGACTCAGTAACTAGGGTTATAAGGGGCCCCTTTTAAGGGTACTATAGGGCTCTATAATGGGGTTCCCTTTAAGGGTTTAGGGTCTACTTGGAGGTTCATGGGACTTAGAAAGTGCAGTTATAAGTACCTTAACTGGGGATATAACCAATTGCAAGTATAGCTACCTTGTTTATATCCATAGTTACTAAGTCCCATGAACCTTAAAGTAGGGTTGAGGGCTGTCCGGTTTAGGGTTTAGGGGGTCAGGATAGAGGGTTTGGGGCTTAGGGGTTTAGGGTTGAGGGTTGAGGGTTCTCTTTAAGGGTTCCTTTAAAGGGATCTATAAGGTTCCTGTCAAGGGATCTATAAGGAGCCGCTTAAGGGTTCAGGCTTTTGGGCTTAGGGGCTTTGGGTTTAGAGGGGTTTAGGGGTTCAGAGGTTTGGGGCTCAAGGCTTAGGGTTCAGAGGGGTTTAAGGGTTTAGAGCTTTAGGGCTTAGGGCTTGGATAACTCCCCCTGCCAGTGCTTAAAGGGTTCCTTAAAAAGGTCTAGAAAGGGCTCAAGGATGAAAGGATCATGAGATTGAGAAACTTAACGGGTTCAAGGGCTCCTGAAAAGGATCTATATGGGTGGTTGTCAAATTAGGGTCCCTTTTCGGGTACCCTAAATCATAGGTGCCGTATTATAATGGGGATCCAAAAAGGGACCCCGATATTGACAACCACCCATACTTGGAGGGTCGGGGGACTTAGCAAGTAGGTAGTAAGTAGACTTATGAGTACCCTAAAAAGGACCAAAGGACCCTAATTCCTGGGCCCACTTCGAGCAGAAGGATTTTCCTATGCGACTTCTGTACGGAGATGTAGCATGTAGCATGTGCTTATGCACATTCTGAGTTTATACGGATTTTGTAAGGATATGTAGGTTTAAACGGTCATGGGAGTACGGTAAGTACGGTTCTAACGACAACTGTGGCTGCATCTACTTGCAATAACCGCGATTTAGCGTTTCACTACCCTCGAAGGCAACAAAAGCCTAAAACACATCTCTTTAAAGGCCCCTGTACCGGGGATGCTTCAGATCCTAAAGAAGCTGATTTCAGCTCGCGGGTTTAGGTTCAGGGGCCCAGGGGTTTAAGGGTTTAGGAGTTTAGGATTTGGGGTAGGTTTAGGGTGTGGGGTTTAGGGGTTTAGGGTAGGTTTGGGTTTGGGAACTTTAGGGGTTTAGGGTTTAGCCCCCGAACCGAGGAGTTTGAAACTCGTTTGCATGGGTCCGCACAGGGCTTGCAAGGAATTTGCCTGAAATGGACAGAGAAGTAGCATGATTCGGGCTATTCCTTAGCTAAACTCGAACACAAAATACGCCCTATACCTCACAAACAAAGCTGTCAACAAAGCATTCATGAAATCCTGCAAGCCAAAAACATCGTTGCTTAAAGCGGTTTTGGAGTGCGTGTGCGCCTATGCACCAGCGCGCGGTGGGCCAGGGTCGCCACACCGGCGAGATCGGCCATGCCAGCAAGATGTGCTAAGGAGTGGGCTAAAGCCTGCTTATACGGGTCCTTGAGTTTCAGCCTTGTCTGAGGGGACCGAAAAAATCCAGGTGTACTGGGCCCCTGCAGCATGCTCTGAACGTCTCGGGATGTGGCGCTTAGGGGCGGGTCCTGCATGGCCTTACATGGCCCTTACAGGGTTTAGGGAATAGGGACTTATGCATGTAGGGTTCAGGGTTTCAGGGCCTCCCTTAACACATACTTTACGGGGGGTGTTCTTCTCGAGGTCCTTGGTGGGACCTGAGCCTCGTCTACATTCACTTGCAGCTACCCGTAGCGAAACCAACAAGGCCCATTCTGGAAATCTTCTGCGCAAACCTGGGAAAGGACGATATCGAAATGGCCATGAATCACAGTTGGAACAGCAACCAGCACCAGCAATGCAAACAAAAAAAGCAACGAAACGATTGTCACTAGCTAGTTTCATCATTGCAGCAATGGCGCTTGAGCCAGCACGGGCCTCGCAGTGCGTCGTTCTTTAGATGCGTTCGGCGCCAGAAACGCCCACGTACTATAGGGGCCTTCATAATTAGAATAGGGCTCGTGGCATATTACAGTATGATTATACTAAAGAACCCCCTAAACTACCAGTCACTTCGCATGCCTTCCATGCCGTTCAAGCCCGCCACCTCCAAGGCCCTGAGGGAGAAGCCGAGCCATGTCGTTTCACGGTCGAGCGGGGGAATGTGCTCTAATGCTTGTGAGGGAGATGTGTCGGGGGGAGGGATATAACATGAGCTACAACCGAATACCGGAATAAGCGTTTTGAATACGATATCCAGCCCGAAGCCACCGCGGTCTTCGAAATCGCCCTCCGGCATGCATTGAATTCTATAGGAGAGGGAGGGAGGAAGTCGCCAACCCTGGCACATATGAAGGTTTAACACAAACTTTCTGATGGGTCTACCAGACATCGGGGTCTGAATAATGAGTCCTCCTAATAGAATTACCGTGAAAGGCCCCATAACCATACTAGACTGTCACATACCCCCAAAACCCTTTCCAAACTGTTACCCCAGAACCCTTAAGCGTTCTAGAAAGAGAACCCTAGACCACGGGGTATTGTCTCAAGCTATATAGCAATAGGAATACGCTTGGGTGCTCTATGCGACAAGTCCTGAGCCTCAAATCCATTTAGTGTGGTCTGGGTACTTAAAGGTTCATGGGACTTAGTAGCTGGGGATCATAACTCAAGTACGGACTCAAGTAACCATACTTAAAGGTTGTTAACGCTCAGCTAAGGTACTCAGAACTGTACTTACTAAGTATCGCGATCCTCCATCTGCAGGAGTTTTATGGGTGCTATGGGGATGTTAAGATGTGTCTAAAACGGCTTGTGCGAAGGTTTGGGGGCTATGCTATAGCGCAACCTTAGAAAGGCGATACGGGAATGTTCTTACCCTAAGCCCTAAACCCTAAGATCCGGGGCTAGTGTTCTGGACGCGAAGCGATGGATACGGTTTCTTCCAAATCAAGGGATGTGGGCCGTGGCTGGCGTGATGCTGGGATTCTGGTGAAGGAAAAACCTACCACATAATCTACAAACCTGAATAATCACCTGTATTATTTTGAAAATTCCTTCTTAGAATTATACGTAGTATAATGAGACCCAAAGCTCTATTCTAATCATTCAGGCCCCCTCTATTAATCATAGTTCTGAAAAGACGATGGCAACAACCCCGTGGAAACAGGAAAAGAGCTCGAAGCAAGAACCAAGATCATGCAATAGACCCTGCAGCCCAGCTAGCCCAGGTCATTCTAGGTCACTGGGCGGACGAGCCCTCAGGACTCTGTCCTGGCCTGCATGTAAACCTGCAGAAATACCTCGAACCAATCAAAAATCCAAGATGTAAGCCTAAATCCTAAACCCTAAACCCGGTGGCACGGCTTGCCTTTTGCGGTCCTTGCTGCAGTGAGGTCCACGTCTTTGGCAGCAGAGGCATCCGGGTTGAAACAGGAAGCCAGGTATTCTGGATCCTCAACTTAACACTTAGGAAAGCTGTGGCATGACAGGCAGGAGATCAAAAAGGGGCCTTAATAGTTAGAATAGGATTTCGGGGCCCATTATACTATAGTTATGATAAGGAACCCCCCAAAATAGTCTAGGCAATTATTAAGGCCCCATATATGACTCATCACCACCCAGCATCTTGATATTCTTCGACTTCCCGCCAGGAGGATCCAAGATGAGGAAAGATGCCAAGTCTGTTGTTCAGCTAGACCCAAGGGTAACCTAGGCATAAAAAGGGTGCCCTTTTTGGCTTAAAGGGGCTTGTAAAGGAACCTGAACCCTAAAAATGGGAATAAGGGCCTACTCTAGGTCCTAGTCAGGGCTTGCACGATGCCGTTTGCAGCAAACAACAAAGCCCATACTGTTAGCTACTGACCCAGATACTAAAAACCCCAACTGTCAAATCTTGAAGAGGGATCTCAATCAAGATGGGCAAAACAAGATCTCTCTGCAAAATGAGGGCCTTGACATTTAGAGCATGATTTGGGGGTATACCGCTGTTAATTGGATTCCCCCCAGGCATTCAGACTCCTTGGGGAGTATCCTAAGACTCCAAAATCCCTTAATTAGGGAGTACCCTTAACTTGATCCTACTGAAATTTAAGGAATTCTCTTAATTACGGGATATTGGAGTCTGGGTATTTGGAAGATTTGAGGCTAAAGCTTGTAGTGATATGCTAAGCTCTCAGATAGCTCGGCGGCCCGCTTGAACATCTCCTGAGCTATATGGGAGCTTCCGAAAATTCGGGGGTACCTTAGGGTTCCTTTAAAGGGTTACTGTAAGGGTACTGTAAGGGTTCCTTTAAAAGAGCTCTACAAGGGTTTAGAGTTTCCGAACATTATGGGTCAACTATTCTTGGGGTCCTTATAACAAGGATCCCACTAGATCTCGGTGTATAGGACTCTGCGAAACCTGGCGACTGCTGTTCCCAACAGCCTGCGCAAACGTAGTTCCTCACGGCTTAGGGTTTAGGGGAAACCTGACTGCCCCTAACAGCGGCGGCAATGCCATCCGATACCGACGCTCCTTTACAACATCTGGGAAAACACTTGAAAAAGACCGTCAAGCCTACAAACAGCCATGTCAGCCCCGACGCAGCACCACAAACCTCAACACCTTGCCTACACCCTTGTAATCCCGAAAGAGCCAAACCAAGGGCCACACAACCCTTTAAGCCGCTCGAGACCACCACAAACCTCAACACAAACCCCCTAAACCACTAAACCCCTGAGCCTTAAATCCCTGAACCCTTAACCCCATGAGCCCTAAGCCAAACCCCCTAAACCCCTGAGCCTTAAATCCCTGAACCCTTAACCCCAGAAGCCATAAGCCATACCCTTGCAAGACAGAACTATACTGAACTTAGAACCCTAGCAAAAATTATAACTTCAGCTGTTTCTTAGGGATTATAATAACCAAAAATTAAAATGTATTTCTAGGTACCCCTAAGAGAACTGTTCGGCCGAGGGCGCTATCGACTCTGAGAGCTTCCCTGCCTCTGCCCCCGGGTTGGCTGTTTAGCAGGGGTTTAGAGTTCCGCTCCTTTAAAAGGAGCTATAAGGGTTTAGGGCTCCTTTACAGCTAGTCCCAAGAGTAACCTAGAAATAAAAAGGGTGCCCCTTGTTGGTTTTAAAGGGGCTTGTAAAGGAACCTGAACCCTAAAAAAGGGAATAAGGGCCTACTCTAGGTCCTAGTTAGGGTTCAAGGAGTTCAAGGTGTAGGGCTCCAGAGTAATAATCCGGCGTTGATAAGGTTGTGAAGAACTTCTAAACGCATCTATAGGGTTTCGTCAGGTTTTGCAAGGGATTCGAACAAGTCGAGAAGAGCTTCAAGCCGGACTTCTTCCATAAGCCTTCCTCAAATCTTCTACCACGGTTTAATGCAACGTTTTTTGAAAGGGTAAGGGCTCAGAGGCTTTGACGAACCCTAACCCCCAAACTCAGGCGCTTTGGGATTCCGGGTCTCGGGCTTTCCGTGTGCGGCGTTGGAGGTCTTTTTTATTCAAGGGTTTCTTTTGAGCGCAAGGGTTGAGGGCTTCGGGTTTGCGGTTGAGGGTTGGAGTTGACAGACACATAGCACATCCGTTCTGTAGACCCTCGCAAACATCAGAATTGTAGCTGTTTCTTAAAGGTTGTCTCAGAATTCCTTCAAAGTAAGTCCCGTCTGATTGTGCCCAAGGGGTCGACCAGGAGCATCTCGCTGAAGGCTGAGTAGTAGTAGTGATGCTCGGAAAGCTTGCTGAGCCGAAGGATCCTGCAGCGGGCCACCGATGTCAACGGCAGGCTCTGAACCACTGGCTTGGCACTCCTGAGCCCTAAACCCTAAACCCTAGGCCGTCATCTTCGGTGCGCAGTGTGGCACCTCTGAAGATGGTTCGCTGCTGGCCGAGGCTGAGGGTTGTGTGTGTGCGTGTGTCTGGTTTAGCGTTTAGGGCTTAGGATAAACCCCAGCCCGGAAATCCTGACATCCTCTTGAGCCCAAAACCCGAAGAACCAACACGCTACATGCATACTTGAAGGCATATTGCATTGAGCCCACCCAGAAAGACATACACAACAGAAAAAACAAACATAACAGCAACAAGATTCAAACTCAAATGCTAAGCCTAAATCCCAAAACGTCTTAACGCAATCTTCTAGCAATGGCAGAAAGAGAGGAAACAGTTTAGTCAGAAATCAGACCCTCCAAACCCCGAAACCCTCAAACACTAAACCCATGTCCTTAAACCCTTAGAGGGTTTAGGCTTTAGGGTTAAGGGTTTAACCTCAAGCCTCAAAACCAAAACCCGTATAAAGCATTCTAAATGCCATGTAAACCTTGTAGAACAAAGCCAAGTCTAAACAGCCAAAATCACCTGTCTCTACAGAGAATCAAAAACCCCATTTTGGAATGCACCTTAATACCCGAAGTATGTGCGAAGGGTATATTATGTGGTAAACCCAAACCCTTAAACCCCTAAACCCTAAACCCTTATCCCTGAACCCTAAACCCTAAACCCTTTATGTGGTAAACCCCCAATCCCTAAACCATTTTAGATCACTTTACCAAATCATGTGTTTCTCCTTGGAGAGTCAAAAACCCCTTGAGGAATGCACCGTAAACTATCGTGGTACCCCACGCATGCGACAAGGGTATATTATATGTGGTAAACACCCAACCCTAATCATCCCCTGAACCCTAAACCCTAATCCCTAAACCCTGAACCCTTTGTGTGGTACATCCCAAACCTTGAACCCCTAAACCCTGAACCCTAAACAAATAAGCCCTAAACCATGTTAGATCCCTTTGCGGGCCCCTGTGAGACTGAGCCCGGACCTCGCTAAGCTTCACTGCCTCGTCGTAGATGGCCTCTTTAGATTTTAAATAGGGTTTTCGGGTTTAGGGTTTTCGGTGTCTTTTGTGGTTTAGGGTTTAAGGTGAATAAGGTTTTACGGTTTAGTGTTTAGGGGTGTTGAGGGTAATTAGGATACCTACGGTTTGGGGTGCAGCGGTAGAGGTTTCCATAAACGATTCCTGAAATGGCTGTTGCAAGTTTTCAATGATCATGGGACTGAGTATCGAATCTAGAGATATAGAGAAGGTAACCATACTCACTGTTACGAACAACCCCGTGTACGTAACCCAAACCACTGGAAGGATCTAGAAAGTAGATCCCCCTAAATTGAGACCCTATACTACCACATTGGAGGTTCAAATTAGTAGACATGTGAGCACTGTCCATCCCCCCGACATCCTAAATCCAGAGAAGCAGTGGCGATTTGAAGATATCCAGCACGGAAACGAGGATCGAGGACCAAGGGGAGATGCTTCTGGCCGGCAATCTCATAGGCGAAGCGCTGGTCTAGCCTGCTTCGCAAGGACTTTGCAGCCGCTGCATGCTGGCATATTCGGACGGTTGCTTCCCTCTGCTTTGACGGCTCCTCCACTGTTGTCCATGGTGTGAACATACCTCTTGCAAGTCTCCATGACCTCGGTGACGAGGGCCATCGTGACAATGTTCTCCAAGGTGAAAAGCTGAAGCATGCCTGAGGCAACCAGACCAGGATAACACGCCCCGAAACCCTAAGACCCTAAAGCCCTAAGCCCTAAACCCTAACACCCTAAACCCCTGAACCGTTTGGGGTTTAAGCTTGGAGAGTTGGAGTTTAAGGTTCAAGGCTTTGGGCTTAGGAGATTCGTTATGTGGGGCTTAGGGTTTTTGGGATTTGGTATTTAGGGGTTTTTGGGGTCTAGGCTTTTAGGGTTCAGGGTTTTTAGCGCTGTTCAGGGTTTCGGGGAGTGTGAGATTTAAGGTTCAGGATGAGGAGTTTGCCTAGACCCTAACCCCTTAACCCTAAACCCACTGTAGCTCCCTTGAAACTTGACTGACCATCCTCTATCCGGTCGCTTGAAACCATGGGTTAGGGGTTTGGGGTTTGGGCTTAGGGTTTAGGGGTTTGGGGTTTGGGCTTAGGGATTAGGGTTTAGGGCTTAGGGGTTGGCTTTGGCCTTAGGGTTTAGGGTTTGGGGTTTAGGGGCAGGGATTAATCAAAGGGGAAAAGGAGGGACCCCTATGGGCCCCTGGCCCCTCTAAACTATTAAGGGTATATACCCAGGGGTCCTTATAAAGGGTCCCTGCTTTTACCCTTTGATGGTCGGTGGAGAAGCCATGGGCCCCTACTATGGGCCCTTGGCCCCTATAAAGGGACCCGGAACGTCACATATACGGTAGAGAATGAGCAGTTAAGGATCCCCGAGTTAAGGGCCCATGCTCCGGGCCCTTGGGTTCAACCTTAGATTGTGTGCTTAGTAGGGAATGCGGAGGAACGGATCCCTATAGTAGTCCCTATAGAATCCCCCATAATAATCCCCGATGTCCATTCCCCCATTCCCTGCTACCCAGGATCTAGAAAGTAGATCCCTAATTTGGGGCCCTATACTAGTAAGGGTACTTCATAGGAACCCACATTAAGGGCTCCCCTTGTTGGATCCTCCCGGGGCTCTGGGTAAGCACCAGGGAGTCTTTGTTGACAGGTTGCGGCTTGGGCAAGTTCGGATTGAGGGCTGCTGGAGCTTCGGAGTCTTCTGGGATTCAATACTGATTAAGGAACATATTAGAAGGGGCCCCCACCCTGTAATAGTGACCATAAGGATTATCTAGGATTATATTAGGGCCCTATTATACTCCTAGTATACCACTATTACAGGGTGGGGGCAGAGCTCCTGAGGAATATAGCTTAAAGTATAGTAGAATCCGTAATTTGATTTAAGGCCCAGTCCTTAATCAGGGGATATTGGAGTCTTTGGGAATTCTGGAACCAGAGTTTTGGGTAATTTTGGCTTAGCGTTTCAGGGGCTTGTCGTGCACCTCCGCAAACCTCAGCATGACTCTGACCGGGAACAGACACACCCCAGAGACTCCAATATCCCTTAATTAGGGAATATACCTTAAATTACAGTAGGATCCGTCATATGATTTCAGGAATATTCCTTAATTAAGGGATATTGGAGTCTCTGGGACTTCTTGCTGCCCATCAGCAGCGCTTCGATGCCGGAATGCTTCAGGGATTTGTTGCAAGAGTATGAGGGGTTTAGGGCTTGAGGGTGCTTCATGGCTTTAGGTTTTGGTTCAGGGTTTGAGGCTTTATGGCTTAAGAACATGCTTCAGCAAGTGGCAGCAGTGGAGGCTGCATGAGCAAAACAGTAACAGGGCTAGCAGCAGCAGCAGTTGCATTCCTGGCAATGACAATGAGACAAGTAACTGTAGGAGCGCTGTCGTGGTGTTCGCGGTGACTTCGCAGTGGTAGTGATGTGAGCGGCGATAGCCAAGCTACTAGCAGCGAGAGAAGCACAGCAGAAACAGTCGTAGTGCGTCCTAATCTTCGTAGCCGACCAAAAACCTAAATACGAAACCCTAAACGGTTTTGAAGCCTAAACCGTTGTGGTCGCCGTTTCATCCTAAGTCCTATCCATATCCTAAACGGTTTTGAACCCTAAATCGTCGTCGTCGTCGCCGTCTTGGCCGTGCCGCGCCTGAGCCTCGGTGTCGGCCGCTGTCAGCGGCAGAAACTCTGCCGGAGATGGTCCGAGCTCCTGCATTGAATTGTGCTATTAAACCGGTTCCGTAAAGGGTTCTGTGCGACTCTGCAGGTTTCCATGTCGCGTTCTAGGAGTGTGTACAAATCTTCTAGAATCTTCTCGAGGTTCAGGGTTGCTGAAAAGGCCCATTGAGGGGTTCTTTGTGGGGGGATTAGGGTTAAGAGTTATGTTGGGGGAAATTGCTTTCTCTTTGGCCTTGTAGAATTTCCGTATGAGGATTCCGTACAGTCTTGATCTGAAAAATATTAGCAAATAAGATCCTCTTAAGCCCAATAAGGGGAAATATAAAATGTCCCAAACCCTGTCAGTCATTCTTCCTAGGGGACGGCTCCTCGCCCTGCAGCGTCCGCTGGAGGGAGCTGAGGTCGGCGCTTTCCGACCTTCCGCTCTTCCTGCGGGGTGGATTTAGGATTTGGGAGTTTCCGAAAATTAGGGGTACCTTATTTTGGGGTCCTTATAATAAGGATCCTACTATTTAGGGTACCATGATAGTGTCCCCTATTTTCGGAAACTCCCATTTAAGGTTCCGTAATAGGGTTCGTTTTAAGGGTTTTTGAGTCATGGGACTTAGTATAAGTAAGCTCGTCCTGCGAAGCTCAGAATAAGTTTCATGAGTCTTACGGTGATATATTAGCTCTATTAAGGTTATATACCTAGGGGTCCTTTTTATGGGTCCCTCTTCTTATCCCTGTGGATTTGAGATCTAGAGTTCCATAAGAGGGTTCCCTTAAGGGTTCCTTAAGGGTTTAGGATTCAGGGTTCTATCATCGGGTGTCGGTTTTGGGGGTTTTGGGTGTAGGGTTTAGGGGTTTAGGGTTTACGGTTTAGGCTGAGTCTTATGGCTCTGATGTTTTTCAAAACTAAAAGGGTCATGGGACTTAGCATAAACACGCTCTTGTTGCGAAGCTCAGAGAAATTGTCAAGGAGCTTTGTGATGTTTTATGGCTTTTAGCGAAGCTTAGTCTGGTTTTTGCTTCAAGGATTTAGGGTTTTCTTCCTGCGAAGCTTACTTAAAGGATCATGGGATTTGGTATAAATAAGCTCTTCCTGCGAAGCTCATCTAAGCCCGCAGGGTTTTGGGTTTTGGTATCCTGTGACTTGGTAAGTAAGGCTAGAGATACCCTAATTGGGGCTGTAAGTAATCCTTACAAGCGTGGATACGTTGTTGCTAACCCTAGTTGCTAAGTCCCCACGGCTTCATTTGCTTTATATCATGAACCGTTTTGGAGGTTGAGGTTTTATGAGTTTTACAGAGCCTAAGGGCCCTAAACCCCTAAACCCTCAACCCCTAAACCCTATCTTACGGGGTTTAGGATTTAGAGCTTCATGTTTTCATACGGCTGTAGGGTTGCGAAAGCCAGAGGCTCCATGGGGCCTTAAGGATTAGACAAGGGCTTCTTTTGAAAAGGGGGGGCATCTAGTATTTAGGGGGGCTACTAGAAGGGTACTATGATGTAGGGGCCTTAATGATTAGAATAGGGTTTTGGAGCCATTATACTATATTTATAATAAGGAACCCCCAAAATAGTATAGGTAACTATATTCAAGCCCCTATGGCACTTTTCTATGCAAAGAAAGAAACGTGGTCCACACCCGCAGCAAACAAAAGGCGCCCGCACCCGCGGCAAAACGCAAAGGCTCTGTGCACCCGCAACGAAAAACGCCCACAGCAAAATCAAAATAATAGGTAAATGCTGTGGCGCGGTTTCTTTTTGGGGCAGGTGCTTGCCGAGTTCACTCACTCACTTGCTGCCCGCCGAACTGGAGCACCCACAGGGAAACGCGCCCACAACAAAAAGATTACCCGTAAACCCGCAAACCTATATGTACCCTAAACCCTAAACTTCTCAACAAACGAAAGCCCTACTCCAATGTGAAGTCCAGGCAAAAACACCGACAGCACCTTTACAAACCCTGCCATGAAATCGACAAACCCTTAACCCCCAAATACAACCGAACCGTAAGTTCAAGATCTTTCCCACAGACCGACTTAACCCTGCTACGATCATTCTGATATAAAAACCTGTTAACTAAAGTCTGCAAAACCTCATAACTCATGACCCTGAGCAGAAGCCAAAAACCCAAAATCCTGTACCCCTCACCCCAAATTCTGTGTAAAACTCTCTGAAACCCGCATGCCTCACGAGCCATTGCCGCGGCCTACTGTCCAGTATCCAGTACCCTGGCCATTTCGCTTCGGTAGGGCGCAGCGGATTCGGGTTCAGGGTTCCCAGAGGCTCCAATATCCCTCAAATCATAATAGGGCTCCTACAATAATTTTCAAGTATGTTTCTATTTCTTAATTAAGGGATATTGGAGCCTCTTGGTTTGGGGTTTAGGGTTTAGCCGGCTGAAGGGTTTTCAGGCCTTACAGCTTTAAAAGTTTCAGTGCGCGGAGTCCTGTATTGAATTCTCTTAATGTTTTCACATGGGGCTAGACAGCCTGAGGTCTTGGGGTGCGGGTTTCGGGACGAGGAGGCCACGTTTTCATTGCATTCCTAATCCCCGAACCCTACACCGGGTCGTACGAGGTTCACGGTTTCAAAGCCAAGCTTCACGACGAAAACCTCCCCTACCAGGTTGATGGACAAGATCCTCATGGCTAATTATTCAGACAATGACTAAGAAGCACCCTTCCTGAAGGGCCGTGATATATTGGATGCCTACTGTAACCCCGGAAGACGCCAAAAGACACGTAGCGTCCATCAGCCCTCGCATCCGAAACCCTCGCATGGGGGCCTTAATAATTACAATAGGGTTTTGGTGCCCATTATACTATGACTATAATGTAGAACCTCCCACCATAGTGTAGGTAATTATTGAGGCGCTTTCTTAGATCAGCCATGGTAATGTATAATTATAAGAAACTCAAGCTCTGAACCCTAAACCCTATAAATCCCTTGGAAGGAACTTATAGATCCCTTTAAAGGGAGCCTAAACCGGCCTAGACCCCTAAACTCCACATTAGACCCTGGACAAACTTGCCAGGAAGTTCTCCCGAGCCCTTTTTCTTGCCCAAAAAAAGCTTCTTGCCTCCAAAAAATGAATCTGTAGAGAACCTTATGGGGGTGTCCGAAATTAAGGGTACCGTATTCTGGGGTCCTTGTAATAAGGATCCTACTATTTAGGATACCATATTAGGGTCTCCTATCTTCGGGAACTCCCTTCTGTATCTCAATGCGCTACCAAACAAAATGAACCTAAACCCGATTACCTGTAGCCCTAAACCCTACTTACAGGTTCATGGGACTCAGTAACGAGGGTAATAATCAAGGTAACTACACTTATATGTGCTTATAACTGTACGTACTAAGTCCCATGAACCTCCAAGTATACCCTAAACCGTAAATGCCATAGATCCCTTTAAGGAACCCTATAGATCCCTTCAAGGAGCCCTACAGATCCTTAATACCCTAACACCTAAAGCCCTGCAAGCCCTGAACCACTGAACCCGGAAGCTGTGAACTCTAAACCTTGAACACCCCAAAACCCAAAGCTCTAAACTGATTAAACTTGAACGCCCAAACCCTAAAGCCTAAACGCCTCAAACTTCTATGCCCTAAACCTAGTAAGACCCCTATACCCTAAACCCTAAACCCTAAACCCTAAACCCTGCAAAACCCCAAAAAACCCTAAACCCTGAACCCTAAGCCCCCTACACCCTAGACCCTGAGACAGATCCGAAGGTGCCTCGGCCGGCCTCTGCGTGGTAAAACAAGCCAGGGATGCCTCGCAGCGGACATTCGGAACGCTTTCAAGCGAATCTACCACGGAGTTGGGATCCTGTAAAGGGTTCCTTAAAGGATCCATAAGGGTTCTATAAAGGGTCTCAGAATTTCCGAAAATTAGGGGTAACCTCATTTGGGGGTCCTTACAATAAGGATCCTACTATTTAGGGTACTCTATTTTCGGAAACCCCATCTACCAGCACACCCAAAGTACCGTTCATTAGAGCCCTCAGGGTCCTTGAACAGTAGGTGCTTAGGGTGTAATAAAGGGTAGTTAGAGGGTGCTGGTAGGCGCCTTAATAAGTAGAGTAGGCTTCCCGAAGGCAGTATAGGGGTCTTCATATAGGGGCCTTTCTATCCGACGTAAAGGTTAGAAACCCTATCCGACGTAATAATTTGAACACGGTTTTGAGCAGATGATAGGAGACGCCTTCTACAGTCTGAAAGAAGCCTAAGGAACTGTCCAAGCATGCTCGGATCGTCTCGCTCCTCCTGGCTCGCACTCTTGAGATACGTGCTGTGCTTGCCCCATGGTCTGAGCGCCTCTTCAAGATCAGCCCTGCCCAAAGGTTGTGAGAGTCTGCTCTCAACGGCTTCTTGAAAAGATGCCAGCAAGATCAGGTCTGTAGCGTCCGCGCCCGCGCCTGCTTCTTGCGCGGACGCTGCCGCTCGGCGAGCGGCTGGCCGAGCCGCGAGGGCGCCGCTCCCGGCTGGGTCGGCCTTGGCGCCACGCAGGAACGCCCGCAACGGCAGCCTGCATGGCGTCGAGCCGCGCCAGAAGGTCATCCAGTTCCAGGGCGCAGATCTCCTCGTTGAGAGTCTGCATGTGCTCTCAACGGCTTCTTGAAAAGTTGCCAGCAAGATCAGGTCTGTAGCGTCCGCGCCCGCGCCTGCTTCTTGCGCAGACGCTGCCGCTCGGCGAGCGGCTGGCCGAGCCGCGGGGGCGCCGCTCCCGGCTGGGTCGGCCTTGGCGCCACGCAGGAACGCCCGCAACGGCAGCCTGCATGGCGTCGAGCCGCGCCAGAAGGTCATCCAGTTCCAGGGCGCAGATCTCCTCGTTGAGAGTCTGCATGCTCTCAACGGCTTCTTGAAAAGTTGCCCGCAAGATCAGGTCTGTAGCGTCCGCGCCCGCGCCTGCTTCTTGCGCGGACGCTGCCGCTCGGCGAGCGGCTGGCCGAGCCGCGGGGGCGCCGCTCCCGGCTGGGTCGGCCTTGGCGCCACGCAGGAACGCCCGCAACGGCAGCCTGCATGGCGTCGAGCCGCGCCAGAAGGTCATCCAGTTCCAGGGCGCAGATCTCCTCGTTGAGAATCTGCTCTCAACCGCTTCTTGAAAAGATGCCAGCAAGATCAGGTCTGTAGCGTCCGCGCCCGCGCCTGCTTCTTGCGCGGACGCTGCCGCTCGGCGAGCGGCTGGCCGAGCCGCAGGGGCGCCGCTCCCGGCTGGGTCGGCCTTGGCGCCACGGAGGAACGCCCGCAACGGCAGCCTGCATGGCGTCGAGCCGCGCCGCGCCAGAAGGTCATCCAGTTCCAGGGCGCAGATCTCCTCGTTAGTGGTCTCCTGGCTCCTGGGCACAGGCACCTCGACCTCCGTATGGGGTTTAGGGTTTAGGCTTTAGGCGTAAGGTTTAGAGTTCCTTTCAGGGCTCCTTGAAGGGATCCTGCCTCCTCACTCCTCTCGCGTCATGCTGTCCTTGACGGTCTGGGCCTGCACCTGTGGATCTTCAGAGGCTTCCTTTGCCTCCTGAACCTTCTGGGCCAGGGTCTTCTCGCCCAACTTGTTCAAGTTGAGCATACATGCAGGCCCCCCTCCTCTTGGCCATCGACTGGACCGGATGGCTCCCTTCAATCAAAGGGGAAAAGGAAGGACCCTTAATGGGGACCCCTACCCTATAATGGGCTATATAATGGGTATATAGTAGCTATATTAAGGGTTATATACCTATAGGGGTCCTTATTAAGGGTCCCTCTTTTTGCCCTTGGATTCTCAAGGCACACACCAACGAATGACCAAGGCCGCTCCTTCCTTTTGCTCTGCGGCTCCGGTGCGGCGATCTTTGCCAGGAGCCGGGCATCGCTTGCAGCCAAGCTGTTTGTCAGCTGAGAAGCTGCTGCCATGTGCTGCCCATCTGTGCTACTTCTCTCCCTGGCTTCTGTATCGAGGTGGCTCAGAAGAGGTGTATAAAGGGTTTTGTGCGGGTTTGTACGGTTTTATGTGGATTTATGCGGTGTACATGGGCTGCTGTCAGGGCTACTTTAGGACGCAGGGCTTTTAGTGTTTAGGGTTTTCGGGGCTTCAGGGTTTAAGCCGAAGGGGGGCTTAGCATTTGGGTCTGGGGCTTCAGTTTAGGGGCGCAAGTGGTTTAAGATTCTAGGGTTAGGGATTCCTTGAGATGAACCCAATTATGGGAACCCCAATCCCTACTACACCCCCATAGGCTAAAACCCCTTTTGGCCTCCTATGAGCAAGGGTTCCGGATTTGGCCTCCCCTTCTTCTTCCCTGTGGTCTCGTCTCTGTTGCTGCCTTTAATCATAGGGACCTTCAGAAGGGTAGGGGGAAGGGGGGGTAGGGGGCCTTAGTGCCCATAATGAGGACTTACTAAGGCCTATTTCAGAAAATGTATAGTCCCCCACCCCCCTACCTCCCTAAGGGTCCCTATGATGTCTCTTGTTGCTGCCTTTCATGTTACCTGCACCTGTCGTTGTCATGTCTATTTACGCTCGTAGATCCGGCTGGTGATGACCTGCGGCCCGACATAACGATGCCCAACACCCAGAAACTCCAAAACCCCTTAATTAAGGAATATTCCTTACATTATAGTAGGATCCTTTATATGATTTAAGGAATATTCCTTAATTAAGGGATATTGGAGTCTCTGGGCACTACTCAAACCCCGCAAGAACCTGTAGAACATTGTAGAACCCTAGCCCTACGGTTGATGATAGAAACCCCCTGCATCACCCGTAGTAAGGAATAGCCCATAATTCCCATAGTTTGGGGTCCGTAAGGTAATGCAGGATCTATATCATCAACCCTAGTATAAGGGCCTGGGCAACTACAAATGGGTCTTGGCTCACATTACCGCAAAGAAAATTAAGGAACTCTGAGAATTGACATTGGAACCCCTAATCCCAAGCTCTTTACCCTAAGACTTCGAGTATAAAAGGTACCTACTTTGGCCTCTAAAGCCTACAAAATAGTACGTACGTTGGGCTCTATGGAGTCTTAGACTTACGCCGCTCCCTAAACCCTAAACCCTGAATCCTAAACTCCCCAAACCATCAACCTGCAAAGCCGGAGTTCACCCTCTGGGGGTCTGAATGTTTTGTCATATGAGGTTTAGGGTTTTGGGTTTAGGGGTTTAGCGTTTAGGTTTAGGGTTTAGGGTTATGCTTGAAGTCCCTGTCAGATTTTTAGCACAGCGACACAGCGGACACTAGCCAAATTAATCCACCCCCTTACAAAGAAAAAGCGAGAACACAACCTGCAACACCAGTTTTCAGCTTTAGGGTTTAGGGCTTGGGGGTTTGGGGGTTTGGGGGTTTAGGATTTATCAGGGTCTGCAGCCACCCGAGAGGAGATCGTCGTCGGCGCCGCAGCAGGCTGCCGGGTCCTGAGATTCCAAAGCTTTAGGGCTCAAGGTTTAGGGTTCCTTGTACGGGTCATCTAAGGTTCTATAATGGGGTTCCCTACTTGGAGGATCATGGGACTTGTTAAGTCAGGATATAAGTACCTGAATTGGGTTTTTTAATTATAAGTATGTTTACATTATGTATAACCCCAGTTACTAAGTCTCACGGCCCATGATCCTCTAAGTATAAGGGCTTAGGGCTTAGGCAGTTTATGGTTTAATTGAAGCTCAGACAACGGAGTCTAGGTATAGGGTCTATCAGCTAGTGGGTTCAGGGTTGAGGAATTAGGGGTTTGGGTTTTAGGGTTTAGGGGTTTAGGGATTTAGAGGTTTAGAGGTTTAGGGGTTTAAGGGATTAGGGGTTTAGGGGTTTAGGGTTTAAAACGGTTTAAAGTATAGGGCTTATCAGCTAAGGGGGATAGGGCTCTTTGGGTTCAGCGAGATAAGGTTTCACATGGTATCAGGCTAAGGGCTAAGGTTCAGGATATCACATAACCACTAGACCCAAGAGTAGCCTAGGAATAAAAAGGGTGCCCTTTTTGGTTTAAAGGGGCTTATAAGGGAACCTGAACCCCAAAAAAGGGAATAAGGGCCTACTCTAGGTCCTAGACCATAACAAGGCATTGGGGGTTTCTGCCAAACTACAACTCCGATCCCCATATTCGAAGCAGTTGTATCCCAATATCGGCTACTTGTCGTGTTTAAGATTTGCGCCCTTAATACCTCCAATTTTTCAAACTTTACACTAGTTGAGCTCATACTCGAGTCTGACACAAGGGTCTTAGGGTCTACAATATGGGGCCTACTTAAGGTTTGGGCGTACGGCTTAGGGTTGGGATGTAGGGCCAGGATCATAAACCCCAAACCTGTGCACTGCAACGGGGTAGCTCTAAATCCACAATCTCCGAAGCCCTACCACCCAAAGTAAAGAAGTCTGTCGAACGCGCGTCTTTATAACAGTTGATGAGATTAGTATAGGGGCTTGACTAGGTAGAAGACGGTTTTAATGTATATTGTACTACATTTGTATTGGTACTACAAGGGAGTCGCAGGCCCTGTATAAGGTTTAAGTTTAAGCCCCATACCGAATTTAGGCCCCTCATTTCAATAAACCTCACCCGTTCAAGTAACCCTATAGTAGCCTGTAGTAGCCCTTACAGTAACATAGTAGCCGATACGATACCCTGAACCCTAAACCCAAAACCCTAAACCCTAAACCCTAATAGCATTTTAACCCCGAGCGAAACCTTTAAATGAATCCTTGAGATTGAAGGAACCTGAACTTCGGGAAAACCTAGAGAACTTACGATGATAACCCTGCAACAGCCTGTGTGGAACCTTTAAAGCCTTGTAAAATCTCAAAACACCCTA